CCCCCCCCCCCCCTTTGATAAGAGCGGAGAAAAGAATAAAAAAGTTGCACCCTTAATTTGGTGGGGGTAAGATTCTGCCACCTGTTTTTTCTTTGGTCATTTTCTGAGAATAAACACACCTGTCCTTAATGTTAAAAGTAAAAGTTATTTTTAAAAAAGATATAAATATATGGTTTTACCCTTACCTGCTGTATTTTGTGTGCGTGTTTCTTTCCACTTCCCGGGCTCTTAATGTCTCAAGATATTAATGAATGACGTATTATATGAAATAATAATAATAAAGTTTACGAAATCACGCTTCATCCCCAAAGGCTCGAAGCGCGGTACAAAGTCAACCATATTAAAAGAGAAATGAAAAAAAATATATTATACCACATTGAAATAAAAGCCGCAACATTACAAAAACTACATACGAGAATACCCATTCTAAGTCTTTCATCCCTTGCAAACATAAACAACACAGGCCAATATATTTTATCTAGGAGATAATAGCCAGCTGGAAAAGATGGTAGACAACATCACCCCAGCAGGTGTTTGCGAAATAGATGTGTTTTCAATTAGGTTTTAAAATCCTGAATAACGACAAAAGATAATCAAAACGTGGTTAATGACATGTCTATTTAATTTTAAGATAACCCTTTTCGAAGATTACTAATTACTAAACTTACTAATACTAAGAATAGTTTATGCATGACGAGAGCCGAGAGAAAATCAATTTTAAATCATACATTAACTATTAATTAATTCACTTCATATTTATCTTTTTAAAGCTTTCAATAGTATTTCATCAGTCACCTATCTTTATTTATTTGTATATTACATTAGTATAATTTTTTATTTTTAAAAAATCTTCTCTCTTATTTTTCTTTCCTTTTTTTTTGTTTTTTTGTTTCTTTAACGTTTATTTATATTTGGTATGATTCATTTTTTTAGAAGGGGCGATTACTGGGTTATTTATTTACATTGCCAACATGGAAGATTTGGAACAAGCCGGTATTGTAAGCAGAGAAAAGCATCCTCATTCTCTTCAACAAGAGGTTACCTATGGAACTGCTGGCTTTAGAATGAGGTGAGAAATAATGTGTTATATTAATATAAAGTGGAACATGGCCCCAAGAATTATATTTAAATATTTTTGAATAGTAATTTGAAACAGAAAAACAAATAAAATTACAACACAAACTCAAACACAGCAGGGATTGGGATTGTCACTGTAGTGTCCTCTAAGTCTACTCTGGGTCAAGGCTGGCCAACCCAAATAGCTTCACTATGTTGCACTATGTACTCAACTCTTCATGTCATAATAGACCTAATAAATATAATAAACACCTTATTAACTCTTTCGATGCGGAACAGCACACACTTCGTTCATCCGCCGTTCTTAAAAGCACGGACCAGCACGCTCTGCGTTGTTTCAATTTCATGTTTGTTTCTTTGCTATTTCTCAGTGAAACTTTTTAAGAGCTATTTTTAAATAAGACTTTTACATAGAAGAGTGGTGCTTGATAGTAAAGATGATTTATATTTAGATCCATCGGATGATTCCGATAGTAGGAGGGAGTAGTTTTAGAGGATTTGAGTTATAGAAGTGAAGATGAGCTATGCGTACATCATAGGATTTGGGGAAAAAATGGTTTAGCATATAATGATTTCACATTTTATGGTTCTTTTCTGTAACTTATTTTATTTAAAATGAAGAAATAAGTTTACAAACATATTGTCCTTTCAATTATCTTTCATTTGATACCAAGTTTAGTCTTTTAAACCAAAAAGTAATATTTTAAATATTTTCTTAATAAACCCAATCTCTCACTCTTTTTTGCTCTTCGAAAAATAATGTACATTTTTTCAATAAAAAAATTACGCCGCGAAAGAGTCAAGGCTGTTCATAACTATTTAACTTATAAAAATATATTTTATTAGTGTTTGACTGTTTGACACAACTCCAGTGATCATTTGGTAGATAAAAGGTTCTGGTCCTGTCACTTTGATTGGAAGAGTTAGCAGAAATTAAAAGCACTGAAGGCTTCCCATCAAAAGTGTGGGAGGGGTCTTGGGAGCGGAGCTCGGTGAGACCCTCACTAGAACATTTTTTTATAATGTCAAAAGCTAAATCAATTTTGATTCGTGCCTGTGAACAATTCTACGCTTAATCAGAGAATGAAAGAAAGTTGCTAGTGGAAATTTCTGTGTTCCAGGACCTAGCTGTGCATATACAAAACCTATATTTTTTGTTGTTTCTAAATAGTATTGTATACTTTTTTTATTTAAGAATCAAGCAACAATTCAAAACAATTTTCCATTTCAAAAAGTTTAACAGCGCCTAACATAAAAAAAAATCTGCTGCACATCTTAAGTGACTTTGTATCTTTTCATCAGATTATAAAGAACAAAATATGCTCTTCATGAATTTGATTTTTGAAGAAATTAAATATTGCGAAACAACTATCAAATGCACCTAATATCTTTTTTAATTCATCACAATATTTTCGAAAATTCTTCCTTGTAATGAAGCTATTCACAAACTGAAATGTATAGATAGTATTATAATTTCTAAGTTTTTTAAAACTATAAATTTGCCCCTAAACGTTCACACAACTTTTCTCCGACATATCCACACTTATGACACATATGGATAGTAATGATAGTGGGCACATATAAGATTATAGATTCTGATATAGGTCCATTTTAATGAATGTATAAAATAAATTGTATGGATTTAATTGTCACTTATATTATCTGTTAAAGAGAAAAGGATGGGCACAAGTCTCTCACAAAAACCAAGATCACAAGAACAGAAAGCAGGAGACATTAGCTAATGCTTCTAAATTTTTATTTTGTCTTCAAAACACACATTGTTTGTTTCTTATTAATTGCTTTCCAAACCTCTTATAATTTAATAGTCTTTGAAGGAAAGATATAATTAGAAGCTCTAAAATACAATCACTGGTCAATAACTTTTATCATTTACAATGGTAAAATACCATATTACCCTAAGATTCTATAGATGGGTTTAGGCTGAAGGCCACATGCCCAAATGGCTGCTGGATATTATTGATGATGTTTAAAGATGGGTAATGTTGGTAATATTCTAATATTATATTTTTTTGTTTTTAGTAATTTAATGGAGCTTAATTTTTTTTAGTTCTAGTACTATTAATTTAATTTTAATGTTAAGGTGCAGGTGTTCATGATGCTCATGACTATTAATATCATCCGTGATTTTATCAATGATCCAATCCAATGATACCATAATCATGTATTGTCAATTTCTTTTCTTTAAATTAGTTAAATTATAAGAATAGTATAATTGTGTATTAAAATATCAACTCATATCTGTGGCCTGTGTAAAAACTAACCTTTATCCACTATTCTACATTCTTTTTATACCCCACATCACATTATCACTCACTCGAGTTCTCCAACCAATATTCACACATTTAAGTTTAAACATTCATGAATACAACTCACCACATCCATTCATACAACATGACAACAACACAAGACAATCAGGTCACAAAGTTCAATCAATACACACTACACAAATTCTCGTAAGTCACTCATACTGTCACAAATAGGTACCAATAAAAAATACATTTTTTTATGCTTTTGAGCCTGGAGTAAAGGAAATTTAAATCAGTTGACAACATTCAACTTGGACCTTAGGGTATATGCCTCAGCCAATACCTTTTTTTTAAGGTTATGAAATAAAAAGCATTGAAAACGGCACTTAAATAATTTAATCTTAGTAACTCTTGGATTGAAAACCCACAGTTAAAGTTCATTCATTGCTTGCAAATATGAATGAGTCAATGAATCAGATTGTTACCTTTCTGAAGCAGTGTGTCAAAAACTTAACCCTGGAGCAGATGGGTGTAGGGCAAAAGCTTAAATGCCTCTGTAAAAGACGAGTGCATATTTTTTCCCAACCAGAGATGTCACTTAGGTTATATTCTTCCTATAACATAACTCCAAGAAGTTAAGAGATATGGGACTGTTGATATTTAAATCTACTCTTAAAGTACTGAAACATGACTTACCATAACTAATATACAACAATGTAGTAGACAGTGAATAGTGTACTCTCTGCTCTACTTGTCATTTGGGCTTGCACCCTTCAGACTTTCACTTCTCTTGAATTTTTAAAAATTTCTTCAAAGTTGGTAAAAAAAAGGTTTTCTATACATTATTGATCTCAGAATGAAACTATAAACTAACAAGTCAATGTTTTTTTCTAAATATGTATATTTTTTAAAACTGATATTCAAATAAAAGTATTTAGATTTGTTCAAGAAAAAACAACTCTGATCTGAATATTTGATTACATTAGATGGAAAAACTAAAACATTGCTGGGACACTGAGTATACACCTAGCACTCTATCCATTTCAGAAGTTCCTGGGCCTACCTTATAGCCACTGTTATAATTATTTTAATCATTATCAATGCTTTCTTCCAAATTAAACTTTCATTTGCTGAAGTAACACATAAATGCATTCCACATTTTAAGAAGAATTATCTTAAATAGAAGGATGCATATTTTTTTGTGCATATATATTTGGGAATAATTAGAAAATAACTCTAACCAACGTTTGTTTCAAGACTATTTCAATATGATCACTAATTTATCCTTGGCATTGTAGGGCTGAAAACCTTGATCATATTGTGTATCGGATGGGGCTTCTGTCTGTGTTATTTTCTAAGTTCCGTTCTGGTAGGTATTTTTCATAATTGTTAAAATATTTGCTGTGTACTACAATATTATTTAGAAAATATGAATAATTTTTGCTTGTTTATAGTCAGTGATACAATTTAAAAAAATCCACCAAATTATTATATTTTAAAAAAGCATTCACCAATTATTCTAAATTAATTTGATAGAAATTGCAATTGCAACTTTACTATAAAAAATTACATTTTTTCCATGACATTTTAACGTTTTAGCTCATGTCTTATTGTCTGACAAGCAAAGACAGGCACATTTTTTCTTGAGAAAGATGACTCATTCCTTTAATTTAAAGTGACAAAAACAAAAATAAAATTTTATAGGTGTGACAGGAATTATGATCACAGCCTCTCACAATCCTGAAGAGGACAATGGTGTTAAATTGATTGACACAATGGGGGAAATGATGCCAATATCCTGGGAGAAACATGCCACTGACCTGGCTAATGTTAGGTAAGTTTATACAATTCTTGATCTATTTTATCAACAAGGTCTTCAGGTCATAATATTGTCATATCTATAATTTGAGAAGCTTGGGTCGATAAGATATGAAAGGTAAATAAAATTTAGCTAAGGGAACATCTTTTGATAAGTGCTATCTTAAAATTACACCCAATTAATTAATGTTAGTATTCAGTAATAATGGAAACAAAATTCCCACTGATAAAGTCAGAAATTGGTAGCTGGGTGAATGGTAATAGTTATATCATACTGAAGCAGTGATAACCCTTTGGACAATTTTTGTAATTAATTAATGACTTAATAAATATTGTTAGATTTGTATGCAAAAACATTAAAGCCTTCTAATCATTATCATAAATAATAAAATACCATACGATTCAATATATTTTTAATGAAGTTCTTTCTCACATTAAATTCTTACTGTGCTTTGTATACCTTTTAAACGTGGACCGTCTATCAACACCAAGCAAAAATGTTCAACCACTTTCATATGACAAGTCTCAGAAAAATCCTAAACACCAAAAGGAAGGACAGGGGTCTAGACACTGGGTACTTTCACAGGCAGGCCTCCCCAGCATATTTACCACCTAAATGCATGTTGTGGGACATTTTGTGCGAATTTCAGATAATGGCTTGCCCAAAAGAATATTCTATGGTGAGCTTGAGCATTGAAGGTAGTTTGCTGGTGTTCAGAAGAAATGCTTTAAAACACCCTTAAAGCCTCACTGAAAGCATTCAATGTAGACACTGACACATCTGAAGAAGCAGCATTGTGATGTTCCTTTGCATACAACCTGAAGCCAACAGAACAGTGGCCGCAGAGCACAAAAGACATGCCAAAAAAGCCTGGGTTAACTTTGCACCTGGAGATGTCCAATCAGTCCCCTGCACTTATTGGACAAGAACATTTCATGCCATAATTGGCTTCATCAGCCATCTGTGTAGCCGCACCCAAGTTTACAATTAGCATATACAACGGTTAATTTGTTCAAAGTTGATTTCAATTAATAAACTATTATACTACATTATTACAGTAAAACAGGCTCAGAAATATTTGAGAGTTAAAAGTGTTTGACTCATTATGTATGGTTTTTATTCATGTTATTTCATTGTAATCTTACTCCAGAAAATATCAGAAACAAATGGAAATAAATTCCAACCTGAATGCATATTTACATCTTAGCTACTTAAAAACTTATGGACTTACAAGTGAATGGTTGAAAACTAACTGAAAAATTATTTTTATTTGTTTTTTTAAAACAAATGTTATTAATAGATTATTAAGTTTTGGTAAGCCTTTGTTTTGTGTCTTTATTTAGTGACCATCAGTTAGTTGAGGCTCTAAAAGAAATAGTCAAATCAGAAGCCATTGACATTACAAAACCAGGAATTGTATCAGTTGGCATGGACACAAGGTGAGTGAGCATTATTTTTATCTATCAGTTTAAATCCAATGGGTTAATTGAAGTGGAAGATCTCAGAGAATAAAAATAAATTAAAACTGTTTTATAATATTTGTTGCATAAAACAGATATAGACTTGTCAATAATTTTTTAACACTAAACCCTTTCTACCCGTCCATAATGAAAATTTTAGAATCAGCAGCCCAGCATTGTCACAGGCAGCCATTGATGGCATTAAGGCTCTCAATGGGGAGTGTCATAACTTTGGTAAGCTAGAAGTTCTGTTAATGTTTTTTGCACTAGAACTTTGTTAAATAACGTGTCTTATTTTGACTCAGTATTTTTTATGATATTGCACAACGTGCCTTTGAAAGTTTAAGAAATGAAATTTTGAAACCATTCTATCAAAAATGGATTACAACTATAAATGAAATAAGATGAATTTTTGAAGGATTAATGCATACAAGTTAATCAATTATATTAAGTTGTATCATGGTATTGAATAGTTACTTAAAATAATAGAATTACATGATATCTGATCATGACTAATTAAAATATTTATGATTAAATCAACCAGGTCTCCTAACAACACCACAGTTACATTACATTGTTTGCTGTGAAAACACTCAAGGTAGTTATGGAGACCCAACTGAAGAAGGATATTACAATAAACTAGCTACTGCTTTTGTCAAACTGAACAAGGTATAACATAACAATTATCTATACTATAAGTATCTTAGTTTGATCTGTTTTTCATCTGCTCAACATTTCACATATTATCTGCTTTGCCTCTTGCAGTCCAATAACCTTGAGTTTGTCATTTCTGTTGTAACAGATTATTATCTTGTAAATGTCTACTTTTCAGAGTTTTAAATTGAATATATTTTTCTCCTTGTTTCATTATTATAAATCTGAAAAATAAATGGGAAATTTATTCATTTCTTGCAGAAAGTGTTTCATATTATGATTTTCCTGAAGCTTTGTAATTAATTATTCATAAATTTTAGCTCCAAAACTTAGCATTTTTTAAAAACAATTTATTGAAAATACTCTGATAGAAAATGTTTCTTTTTTTTTTAAGAAGTCTGGCAACCTTGGCAATTAATGTTTCATCCTCTTACAAGTTTATGTTCAGAGATAAAATTACAAATGAAAATGTTATCAGACTTATAATTTTAATTGTGCATATGGTTGGTGCACATTTACTAAGTTCTGAATTTATTTGAGTCATTTATATATTATATCACACTGTCACATTTTAAAAAATCACATCATACAATCTATTTTATGCTTAAACCCATCAATAAATGTGTAGCGTGCCTCGTAATTGATCCATGTTTGATTTTCTGGTGATGCAAATTTTTTCCTATCTCCTTTTATTAAAAAAAAATATATATGTAAATACGACATAAAAATGTATTTTAGACCATAAATGAAATTGTTCACAAAAAAGAAGTAAAATTAAACAATATTAATGTCCGAAAAGTATGTTTTTTTCAATACTTTTGTTGGTTCATTTCTAGTTAGCTATGTCTACTTGTATCTAATGATAATGTTTTTATTCATTCTAATGTAAATTTTTGCTTTCAGGACAAGAAATGTGTAAATTATGTTTCCCAACTTTTCCTAGATCTAGCTAATGGAGTTGGAGCTCCCAAAGTTCGTGAACTATTGAAACATTTAAATGGTTCACTGAATATTAACTTGTGTAATGATGGCTCATCTGGTAAATTAAACCACCAAGTTAGTATTTTATATAATTTAAATAATAAAGAGAAAGTACATATCAAAGTTATATTAAAAAAAATAGTGTGTTACACTGACCGTAAAAACAAAAAACTACTTCTCTCCCCTTTTTTTGTTTTGATATTGACATCACTGATAAAATTCTGGGAAAGTAACATTGATTAGAATAAGGAGATGTCATCAGTGCTACCCTGTCCTGCAAAAGTCAGACGAATGTGCATATAGATAATATGCTAGTTATGATGTAACTATCAACATTCAAAAAGTTGAAATTTTGTATAGTAACTGAAAGTCTGATTATTTTTTTTCCTTTTTAGAGTTAAAGCCTTTCCAATAGAAGCCTTATTAAATTTCAGACTAATTATTTTTTTTTTTTAAATTTTGTACATAATCTAAAAATAATTATTATGTTTATACTTAACTTAGCAGAGTGGGATGGCTGTTTTAGGACCCTATCTTCTGTTTTCTCGAGCATCATCTGTTTAATTACCAGCCCTGATGGCCAAAAATACTCTTGTTTTCAATAAACATTTTATCATTTTTCATTTTAAATGTGTTTTAATATTTCTTTACAAATATATATTCAATTTATCTAAGCCTGGCTTGATAGTTGTAACTTTGAGTGTTGATCAAAGAAATGATATTATTTCAATAATGTTTTAGATAATTCACATTTTTTTCTCTGCTAGTGTGGTGCAGACTTTGTCAAGGTTTGTCAGGCTCCTCCAGTAGGTAAGCAGTTTATTATTCTGTTGTGCTGGAAAATCTCATTAACATATTAAATCTAAATTTCAATTACTTCCGTATCAAATCAGTTAAGTCTTAAGCCTATATGTCTATGCCATCCACATAAAGTTCAAGCTTCTCCTACAGGTTGAAGTGCTAGATACCTGTTAATTTTAAAATTGAAGAAACTCATTTAGTGCAGTTATATGGAAATTTATTTTATTAAATCAGTGGAATCATATTTCCTTCTCATTCTCCTTTAAAAAGAGGAAAACCTTATTTTTGGCAGTTGGGGGATGGGGCTGAAAATTTGATAGAATGCGTTGTCATTGGCAATGAGTCTATGTGCCAAGTTTCAGTTTGAAGATTTTACCCTACTCACACAAAAGTGAAGTTAATTTAAAGGATTTAAAAATAGAGCTAATTTTGTTTGTCATTAAATGTCCAATCTATAAAAACAAAATTAGCTCTATTGATCAATTTAATTTTTAAAAATATTTAATTTATTGGTGGAACTGTGTGTTTTGTGGCATTACCTACTGAATAGAACTAGTTGACTGAAAGTGTAATAAAACCCTACATTTTAATAGCAGTCAATTATTGAATTAGTATAAATACATAGTAAATATTATAGTATATAAGATTTATAATTTTTGCATGTTTAAAGCTTAAAATATCTTTTAGACAGTTAATGAAAATGATAAAACGTGGAACATATCTGTTTTAATCATTTGTAACTGCAGGAGTGAATTTAGAACCAGGAATGAGATGTGCTTCTTTTGATGGAGATGGAGATAGGATTGTTTATTACTATAAAACATCTGAAGGGAAGTTCTCTCTTCTTGATGGAGACAAGATAGCCACACTGGTCAGTTGAGGCTTTTCATTGTTGTTTATTGTACTTTACAAATATCAATGGTGCTCTTTAGAGCTATATTTTTAAATGTATAGAAATAGAATTCAGCGTTAATTGGGGTTTGTTTCAGCAAATAACATTGCTTTACATGCTCAAATTGACACAGTTGGTTATTTTCTCAATATTTACACCTTTTGTCAGCTAAATGTAATGATGGTAGTAGTGAAAGTTTGATGATTTAGCATAGCTATATAAGGTTAACTGCACACTCAAGGGCAGGATAAAATGCCTAATAATACAGGGGTTTTGGAACATGCCAAAATGTGCAGCATATTAACCACTATTAGTAAGAGATGCCTTTGCTTATTAGGCCATATAAGGAGAATGGAAGACAATAATATTCTGAAGGACCTGCTGTATGGTGAATTGAGAGAAGGGGAAGACTTACTGGAATGCCATTGCTGGGGTACGAAGATGTATCTAAAAGAAGTTATGGGAAGCCAACTCTGAAATTGGCAAATGGAAGATCATCGCTGATCACTATTGCTGTTGGTGAGCAGAAATGAATTATGGAATTAAACAGGTAGAAGATGCCCAAAACAAAGCTTTTGCAAACATTAAAACACACTTTTCATAAGGCCAGGGTTTCCAGATGTGCAGCCGATATTAAATCCTGCTAATCCCGGATCAGCATCATGAGCCATCCAGGACTGTTATTAGTGTTATAGCATGTGTCTTGACCTAATTTTACGTCAACATAGAGCTAAAGCATCAACTACTCCTCTCCCTCTTTTTTGTTTTGATATGGACATCACTAATTAAATGTGTAGCGCTGTACCAACGCCACCCCTCCCTTGAGAAGGTAAAGGTTGTTTACGTTCTATTAGTTTTGAAGAATGCTATCGGGTGATGCAATTTCTTTTCTGGAGAGTACCAACTTTCTCCCTAAGAATAAGGAAGAGATAAGTCGGGATAGAGATTTCTCCTATTTTTCATAGACATTAATATATTTACAAGATTAAATCCTTAGTGTGTGTGTAAATTAATTTTTGTATCTTTTGAGGATTTTACTTTTTCACTTCCTGTACTGTAAATTTGTATATTTTTTTATTTTTGTCTATTTGAATTTGTATTCTCTATATAAATTTAAATGAAAGAAAAATTAAATTGTATATTGTTAATATTGTTAAAATAGCTTTGGTATAGTTTTTCCTTGTATACTTGTTTTCAGTCCTGTGTTATATGTTGTTAAAAAAAACTGGCCACATCTTAATGCAGATTAAATTTACAAAAACCATATAACAGGCAAATAACACTACTCCATTGTCTCACCAACAAGGAAGAATGCCAACAAAAACAATAAGGTTAAACTGTGATACTCAACAACTTTTCATCAGCTGTTATTTTAAAATCTTGTCTATTTTGTTCCAGTTTGCTGCTTATTTGAATGAACTTGTCAAGTCTAGCCAGCTGAAGCTTGATATGGGATTAGTGCAAACAGCTTATGCTAATGGTAGCTCCACTGCCTACATAACAGATGTTATGGTACACTTTAATTTGATCCTTACTGTTATTTATTGTTGATATTCTACTCATGCTGACTCATTTACTCTTAACTTAAAACGCCCAGGGTACTCAGAGACTAATTTACAATTCAAACTAATAGTTGATTTTTTTAATGCTCTAGATAATATAATTTTTTATCTATATTTTATAGTACTGGTTACTCAGTTTGATAACATTTAATTCAATTTTTTTCAAAGTTTTAAAATAGAAAAATATTCCAAAGTTTAGGTTTGGACATGAGTAAAACAAATTAAGGTCAAACCTGAAAAAAGGAACGCAACAAAACAACAAACGTGTCAGCAGGAAGCCTTTGTCAGCAAACAAACAACAGAAAAACACAGAATAAAATTAAAAAATAGCACTTAGCTGAGAAGTAGCTTAAGTTTGCTTTTTAATAATTAAAGCAGTGCTGGCACATGTTTCTTGTCTGTCTCTTTATTTTTTTACTGTTATTGGCTTTTTGGCAGAAATGTCCACTTTTTGTATTGTCCTTCTTCTTCAGGTTTTCCTCTACCCTATGTACACTTATTGCTTCAACCTGAACGCAGTCATCACCATATTTCTCTTATAATATTCTTTCTCCAGAAAGTTCCAGTGGCTTGTGTACCAACAGGTGTAAAATACCTACATCACAAAGCTCAAGATTTTGACATCGGGGTTTATTTTGAGGCTAATGGTCATGGAACAGTAAGTGCTTGTTTACACTTTTATGGTATTTGTTCATTATCATATCTTAAAAAATAGGTTGAACAGAGAACATTTATTCAGAAATTGTTAGTAAGATAGTTTGTTTTACTGTTATAATTTATGAAATTATTATTTCAAAAGGATCAACTATAATAAGTCAAAACAATTTTCATCAGGAAGCTAATATTAGCTTTAAATTTAAGATTTATTGTTGATGGTTAAACCATTAGAAAACATGGTGTGTAATTTAAAATAAATTAAGTTCTAAGAACCTAATTTTACCACTTTGATATAATATACCTTGTAATTTATATATGAATAATTTTTACATTCACATTTGACTTAAATATAATCTGTTTAAAAACATTTCAGGTTTTGTTTAGTGAAAGTGCTAGAAAATTAATTGTAAACCAAGCTTCAAATAGTAGGTATGTTTGCCTAGTTGTTTTTCTATGTAACATTTTTTTTTAAAAATGGACATGTTTTTAAAAAAAGTATGTGATCAAATTTTAATTTCTTGCTGTCTGAAGTTTTCTGGGTATTTACAAAACATGTATTATTTATATTGTTCCAACTACAGCCATACTCTTAAGCTAGTCTGATATCTTTTGTTAAAATTTGATTCAGTCTTTCTAATGATTCAAAAATGATTAAAACTGCTAGATCTTTTCCATACCTGTACATATTTACTCTTATTTTAAAAAGGAATGTACCTAATATATTCTAATTGTGACAATATTCAAATCTACTCTTACAAAATATTTGTCTTAATTTGTAAGCATCAAACTAAAATATGCATTTATTATCAAAGTTTGTCAATATCTATTAAATTTAAACATTAAGTTTAAAATTATGGAAATTTATTAATAATATTATTAATATACAATATGAAAATGATCTATCTTTTCATTATAATTAAATAATTGGAATAAATTTGTAAAAAGGAACTTAATAACTACTATTAACTAGTGTATATAATGTATCCTACTACCTATTTTATTCTAGTCTTGACAAAGTCACTAAGGAAGCAGCTGATAGACTGGCCACAGTTATGGACCTCATCAATCAGGTGCAAGAGTTAATTCTTGTTTATCCTTAGTTATCATTCGTTCAACGTGATTTCAAAGTCTTCCAAATTTAGCTTTATTTTTTTCAATTCCTGTGATTTTGCATTGTGACATTATGTGGGAAATCTCAATATAATTTATACTTTAATAATTTTTATGAATAGAGGCTCCATTACTCAGTCCCATTATTTATTTACTTCAGGAAAGGTATTTGGTTAAGAGTTTATTATTGTATTCTAAAAAACTGCTGTAGGATTGTTTTCTCATTGTACCGTGAGCAGGTTGATTGAAATTCCATTTTCATCCCAATATATTGTGAATCTATCATACTTAAGGGTCTTATATTTTTTCCTAGTCCATTGCTTTGAGTGATTCCAGGCACTCTCTATCTCTTGGTTATTGGGAAGAAACAATACCACTGTTTAAAAACAGTTGGTTCTAATCATGACAGTGAACTGTGTAATGCTTTAATTGTGGTGAGTTCATCAATATGATGCAGAGTTTGAGAAAAAATGTGAATGAAAATTAATCATCTTTATTTCTTGAACATTTATTCATTTCTTTGTCTCATACAGACTGTAGGGGATGCCATATCAGATATGTTAGTTGTTGAGACTATCTTAGCCAGTAGAGACTGGACATGTCAGGACTGGGACTCTGCATACACTGACCTTCCTTCCAGGCAGATTAAAGTCAAGGTGAAATATATGAAAAATATAAACAAGTAGAACTGTCATTGGCTGAATTGAGATGTTCACTGGCTATTCTATGAATTAACTACACACACCAATTATCAAATAAAATATAAATAAGAAGAACTTTCACAGGTATAATTTTGAATAAAGAAAATATTAAAATGTGTTGTATCAAAACCAAATTTTTAAACAAATTGTTTTCTTGAAGCCTCAAGAGGTGAAAAGGGCAACAACATAATCAAATAAACATAATTTCTCAACCTTTCATTTTGTTTGTAGATGAAAGCAACATATCTTTTTTTAAAGCTTTAGGTAGTTTAAACATTTTAAGTTGAATTTTGAGGTAACTGCAGGAGGTTTTATTGTTAAAGATATTTTGACTAGGTTGAAAATCGCTTACTGGTTGAGACTACAGATGCTGAGAGGAGAACAACCAAGCCACCAGGGCTTCAAGAAGCTATTGATGAAATTGTATCAAATTATAAACATGGCAGGGCATTTGCACGGTAAGAATTTATTGAAACATTCTCAATCTATAAGTATAACTGATTTTGTAAGATGTAAACTGTATTTTATTGGTAATTCAAACTGTGATTGAATAGAAGTAGTAAAAGTTATATGTAAGTGAATTATTTTTTAAGACAACATTCTGTGGTTTTTTATCTGATAAAATTTATTTCAGACCATCTGGAACAGAAGATGTTGTCAGGGTATATGCCGAAGCAGACACACAGGTATAGTAGCAATCATTAACAGAAAAATTTTTAAAAATTAATTTACCCATTCTCTCTTTAACTTTTCCTGTACCATTTACTGTAATGATGTTTACAATATGTATATATCAGAAATGATCAGGATTAAGGATCAGATTTGAAATATCTAATGAAGACCACTTTGCTAAATCTTATACATGGTCGTTGGGATATAAAAATAAAGGGGGATGGTGCTTCTGTGATTTCATCATTGGTGTAAAAATCCCATTTTTACAGACAGCTGCAAATTAATCTTTTCTAATTTTCCACAGGCCAATGCTGATAAGCTTGCATACGAAGTTGGAATGCAAGTATACAAGCTGGCAAGAGGAACTGGAGAACTTCCCTCCTTACCACAATAATAATTGATTTGATATTTTAAGAGGGAAGAAAAACTAAATGTTGAGAGAAAGAAACAAATTGTGCCTAATTTTGCTTTCATGCAGAATTTAAAATGTGTGACAAATATTTTTAACATGTAAACAGCATTAACAATGACAATATAATGAATTTTTCATAATTACTTTTTGTGTACCGTACCATTTACTCTAAATTCTACTTAATTGATTTTGGACAGTTTATTGTAGTTTATGCACATAAACTGTCTAAAGATACCTTCATGATTAATATATTTTGGATAAGTCCCTTTTAATTACATTTATGTGAATTGTCAATTTAACAAACACTAACATTGAAATACCCAGTATTCAATATTTTTTAATGACATTATTAAATTATGCCAGCAGAGTCTAAGAAATAATTTTATACACAGATTCCATATTTCTTTTACTACATGCAGTGCTTGTTGAATGTATTCAGAAATGTGAACCATATTTGATTTCATGATTAACTCTTTGAAGCTTATTTTTTTAATACTGTGGAACTTAATGTTTGCGCCATATTTATTTTCCACTTTAAAAAAAATCACTTTGATTTTTAGTTAACAAATTTAAGTTATTCCCGAAAAATAAACTCTCTACTGAGTTGTTTATTCATCCCAGATACCTAAGATCAGCTTAATCAGGGCTAATTCTTTCCCTCAATGTTACTATTGTAGAACCAAAAGATTAATTTATATTTGTTCCCCAATAGATCAGAAGTTACCAGTTTTTCCTATCTACGACCTGAAAATGAATATGTACAACGCAATCAAAAAAGCATTTCTTTTATGTGTGCCAGAAAATTCAGCACTTTAAAGGAAAGTTCTGTTGATCCATTTTGAAAAAAAATTAATTCATTTCCTTTCAGCTTTTCTATTCTTATTTTTAATTGAGCAAAAACAATTTATTTTTAAATTCCATTGATGTATATATATTTCAAATCAGTCATTCTTTTTTAAATACTTTTAACCCACTCACAGGAACCAATTGAAAACAATTTTCAAGCTAATTTAAATATTTGTTATTAAATACTTGTTCATTTGTTACATATAACTATGACATAAAATACTTAATATAATACTATGTTGTTACTGATAAAAAAAACATGTTGTGATGGGAAAACTATGGGATCAAAGGTGATGGTGATTTAATTATATTCTAACTAAAAAAAACTTTTTTAAAATGTGCATGACTTGTTTGTTTTTTAAAATCTTCTATAACTATAACATGAAATATGACACTAAAAAGTACATACATTTTTATAGACATTTTAATGATGCGTTTCCCGCAATGTAATATTTCCTTTTTTTAAACATTTGCCATAATGTAGCAACACTTTCTTTCAAAATTAATCATGCATACTTTTCATTCTTTTTTTTTTTTAAAAATTAGAAACACATCTTATCACAAAATAAATATCTGGAATGACTGTCAACAAATCCAAATATAATTTAAAAATGCACTTATTCCATCCACTTCAAATCTATTTGAAACAATTCCAAAGATATATTCAATAATTACATAAAATAAATGATAAATTAAATTCATTTTCACATCAGCCTCAACAAATAGAGTTGAGACCCAAAGTATTCTTAAATTTGCAGATGAAAATTTTATGAAACATAGAAAAAAAGTATTTCAGTAAATAAAGAACACAAAAAGGAAAAATGCTATTATTTACATATTCCATGAGATCTCTCGGAATAAATGTATAGCTATCAAGATTGGACTGATAAGCCAAAGCTAATTGGCATATTTTAGATTAATCAAAAGCCAATCAGGTTATATATTATGTAATCAGGCATTGAGCTTTGAAAATGTACACATTTATAAAACCATTCTTTGGGTTACTGGGAATATGAGTAAATATCTGTAATAACTAGGTGAAGAAACAGAAGTAACACTTCTCTGATTCCCAAACATTTGTTCCTTAGACTGAGGAAATTAGCCTCTGAACACCATCATGTAAAGCAGAACTTTGTCTGATAATTTTAAGTTATGGTACAGGTAAAACTGATGAAAGTAGTGTTTCTGAGGTTTTCAGCCTTTTCATAAATATAATGTCAATAATCCTGATGAAGGACACAGAATTTCACTTTATTTTGTACCTTTTGAGCTGGGTTTAATCAATAGTAAGGAACCCAGTTACTTTTATCTTCAGGTTTCAGCTGCCCTGTTACGAGTAGTACCACATCAATGATCCACCAAATTCCTACACCACCAAGTGTTAAAAGTTTGCCCACCGCTGTACCTGCATTATGTTAAATTATTACGAGATTATGATTTTAAAGGAAAGATACTGGCTTGTTTTAATTATTTTTTGACATTGTAAAATTTAACTTTAAAAAATGATGAGTACCGGTAACTAAAGATTAGGATGTAAATCCCTATCAATGTCTTCTTAAGCCATAGGTAATGATTAACTTTAATGACTGCTTGCAATCAAACTTTGATGCTGTAATATAAATAATTAAGGTATTATATTACCTGTGTGACCAAGACAAAATCTGTCCATGCCAAGGAATCCAAGGAGAACAGAATATATCAAAGTTGTCACAAAGTAATGACCATTGTACCTGTATGATATTATAATAGACATTTGTATAAAATACTAGATCTTACTTATTTTAATATTTCAAATAAAATAAGTTTATATTTGAGTAATAGTAATAGACAGATAATTCAAACATACAGGTATTAAACATACCAAAGGGAAATAAGTAGATTTACTTACATTATGCATGGGAATCCATCTCTAAGAAAAGTTCTATTGCCATAACATTCTATGCCAGGTAAAGCTGTGCACCACACGCTTGTATTCTGAACATCTTCAAATTTTTCACCACCCCACTTGAAGATATTAAAATTAGAAGAAAAAAAATGTAGTTCCTCATTTAATTATTTAATTTATACCTCGAATTTTTATACTCTAGTTGATGTAACTGATACATTATATTTCCTATTTTCTGAAACTCACTCATGTCACATTTAATACCCTAAAACTTCTAAAATTCTTAACATGAACCCTGATATTAATATAAAATTATTTCAGATTACTTTTTCATGTCAGGCGGGAGTCTACTTAAAATATTTTAAAACAGTAAAACGAAGACAAATAATGTCCACTGTCAATTGATGATAAAACTATACACTAAATGGAAGGGACTGTTTCATAATAGCCATTTCAACCCAGCTAATGCTTGAAGCCACCAAATATTTTTCTTAAATTAAAGCAACCATCCTGCTCTGGGATGGGAAGGTGTAAAAATAAAATCATTAATACGTGAGGTATTGATGAGGCCTTTTTTCTCCCATTTTTGTAATGTTGTTAATTATTTTTAAAAATTCAGAATCATTGCCAGAGTGAAATCATTCACCTTCTGAACCTGATAAAACAGGGGTGTCAAACTCAATCGCTCGGCAGGCCAAACCTCAAATTACATGTAAGGTTGCGGGCCGAGCAGAATAAACATTCAATAAGCAGAAAATTAATATTTAAAAAAAAAAACATTTATATATAACAAGTAAGTTCGTTTATGTTGGGAGTAACGTTCTGTGTCATTGAAATTCTCATGATGGACTCCAAGTGTTCATCTGTGAGATGACTCCTGTGTGATGTTTTGTTAATCTTCATCACAGAAAACAGCTGCTGACACATATATGTGCTACCCAACATGTTCAAGGTTTGAGCCACATGTGGACGAAGCTGGGGAATCCTTTCAGGAATGAAACGAGTGAAATGTGCTGGCCTAACTGTGTCGTACATTTCCTTTAGTGTCCCATTACACTGCAGCTCTATTAGCTCAATCTGCAAATTTACAGGTGCAGTTGCCACATCTATGACAAATTGGTTCAACAGCTCGAAATTACATTTCTCTGCTTCAAAGTCACTAAAGCGCAGTGCGAACTCTACGCGAAGTAAGCTAAGCTTTTCAGCAAAGTATGCATTGGGAAAAACCATGGCGTTGACTTTGATATAATTGTTTGCTGGTCAAGACCTCGCGGGCCTGATATAATTATAAGCGGGCCAGATGTGGCCCGCGGGCCTTGAGTTTGACACATGTGTGATTAAAAAGTACATATTCCTTACCTTAGTACAACCATAACCTTGCTCCTTTCTTTTTGTAATATTTCCTTTTAAATCTTCTGGGGCACTACAGTTCAGAAATTCTAAAGGCCTGAGAAAAATTGGAATAATTCTTTTAATTTAATTACTATCAATAATGCCTACAAAACATTTGTAAATATCAGTACCGTATTAAAACTCTGGTTAATATAAAGAAACTCAAAATTCGAATGCATAAGCCTAATTGAAAATAGAAGAGCATCACTCATATTTACAAAATTTACACCTGGGGTCATCTGTAAATGATAAAATGCTACTCTGGCAGATTTTTTTCTTCTATATTTGAGGGCCCACAATCAATTTATTGATCATTCTGACTCCTAGTTTGAATCCAGAGTTTGCCTTCTCTTAGATGAGTTGCCGTCCAAGGCTAACAAGTCCCATCCACCCTGGATGCTTGGGATGTTTTTGCTTGCTTTGGCTTTGGTGGGGATTGATTGAACTCCAGACCACAAGCTATTTGGATTGAGTCAGTTTAGACCCTTCTGATAGACTACATTGCTGCAACCAAGTACTGGCAAATTATGACACCTTCTTTTTGCATCATCACAAATTTCAAGTAGAGAATAATACAAGTTTGCTGAAAAGGCAATCAGCCCATATATATATGAGAGCAAAAATGAAAAGTGCATTGCCATTATTAATTATCGACCAATAATGTGCTTAGTATGCTTTTGTCTATACTATACTATTTATTTTAAATAATACCTAACCTATAGGCACATGCCTACATTAAAATAAAAATGTTTACATCAAGATTTATCACAATAATCCTTTTAATTGGTCTTAATGGTTTTGTAGTAATGAATAAAGGTTATAAGTTTCTAGATTCGAACAGTGTGTTTTATGAAATAAGAGATTAAGTCTTAGTGAATAGTCAAGTGTCCTTGCTCAAAATTTTGTATAAAATTAAATAATACACTATAGTTATAGACTAGTGTTTCCCAGCTGCCAGCTAGTGACCTGGGTCAAGATAGCAAAAATACTCAGAATTATTGAAAACTTAGGTGACACTGACTCTAGGCAGGTGCTGGTATATAATATGAGTTTTGTTTACCTACAAATACCTTAACTTTACATCATGATGTATGATGGGCATTAATTTCTGTTTTATGTAAACCACAGTTATATTTTATAAGTATAAGCATAGGCCAAGGCAATATAGCCTTATAGCTCAATTTAGGAAAACAATTCTGATTCAGACTCAGACAATAGGGCCTCTAAATCTGAAACAGCCCATCATATTAGTTGCTGGCAATTAGTTTTGCTAAATTATTAATTTGCTAAGTAGGTAGTCGTTCAGGTCTAGGTAAGTAAACTGGGTATATTATTTTGTATAGAAGTAAGCTTACTCACAAAAACGAACAATAAACAAGTGCTTTCTGCGGATCATAATCATATCCTGTCGAGTTATCCATTAAATAATTATCAGACAGGCATCCCATGATTATAGTAGAAAATAAGGTAATATAAAAATACATTTGAAACATAGTCCGGTAATCATAATACAAGCATATAATTATATATTATATTTAAATTCATTTCAGTGTCTGACTTAATAATCTTTAAAAGTTTAGGCCTATGCCTATGGCCTTTGAGTTAGTATGATTTTTTATGTATATTTTTTGTTTTCTTTTTTATAAATAAAAGCTAGCCAATATATAAGTTTGGGATAAAATTCTCTTATATTTTTTTTATAATTGCACGCAGAAATATAATTAGTATTACATGAAAAGTAATGTTTGATTTAAAATCATTGTGTTATATAGTACACTGTGTTAAAGTGAAATATCTTTTTATTGCGAAACTACCAAAGCAATTGTCAGGGAATTCCCGAATCCCGGCGGATACACATTTTTTGCATACATTTTTTAACACAACAAACACATCTCACACCACGCTAACAACCAACTGCCGGTAGGTAATTAAAACCAATTATACGTTATTGTTTGGCACTTGTACATATTCAAAGAATCATTATATACTCTGGCTTTAAACGCAACGAAAACTTGAAACGTGATTTACCGAAGCCGTGATCTGATGCTGGTACCGTTAGCCGTTGCCGTTCAAACTGATTGAAGACGGTCCGGTACTCCCTCACTAGGTGCACTTACCCAAATTTACTGATACTGAAGGTAGTACCAGTATTTTGAGGATCTGTATACTGATCCTCAAAATATGACTGCTATTCGTCTACTACCGTACTGACCAGTGTCGGGAGGATCTGATGGCCAATGAATTTGAATGAAATGACCAATATTGCCAATAATGGACATAAATTAAAGTATTAAAGGATGGTGGCTTGACCTCATGTCTCATGTTCATTTCATTTATTTAATGGATGCAATGTATTATTTATTCAGTGTGAGTCTGGAATATTGATTGTACACGTTACTCATGTTACATGCCATGCCATCAGCGATTTAGACATGGAAGTTTAGAAAGTTAATTAAAACTAAGAGTGATGAGATGAATACTAAAAATAGTAACGGGGGGGGGGGGGGGGGGGGAAAAACAAAAAAATGACCCCTATCTATCTAATATTATAACTAACAAGTTTTAAACAAGGCTACTAAGATCATGATTAAGATGAAGTAAAAACTTGCAAAAACTGCTCTAGTCTCTAGCTAGCAATTTTGTTTGAGCAATTAAAATTAAAGTCTAACGCGGGAACCACAACAAAAAAGGACTGCAATTGTATGAGTTATGATAAGAAATAAATTTTTTTTTAAATTTAATCAGTCAGACAAGACTGACAATTGGTTATTATAAACCTGATTTTAAACCTTTAATCATTTCAGTGGCACTCATTATACCGTAATTGAAATATTGGCACTCTTCCGAACACCAGTCCCAAATTAAAAAAACTTGTAAAACAAGTAAATGTATCGAATGAGCAGTTACTTTGGCCTTGGCAATTCAATAATGTTTAGCCAAGTACATGATCAAATGTGATAAATGCAACTCGACATCTTAAAGTACTGTCTGAAAATATGTTCTTTGTGGCTAAAGCACCACTGGAAAGGACACAAGTAGTTTGAAAACAGAATTAGCTGTACGGTAGTTTACAGTGGTGTCCCAACTTTCAATGCATCATGTTATGACAATTTTGTATGTGGTAAGCCCACAGTTTGCATATTCTGCATGTCATATTGCACGGACGGCAGTTCCATTGGTAACCATTAAGTGACTTGGCATGTCGGAAAAAAGACATGTGATCTTGACAGTTATGAGATGGTTTTCATTGAGCCTCACTGACCAATGCTTGCTGTCATACAGTGCCTTTGACGTTGTGTTGTAAGTTTGCATGTTTCCTGGCAAAACACTATTTGCAATATGAACTGGCCCATGTCGTCTGCCGGCCATGATATTTATTTTATATTATTACAACCAGTTAGTCTGCAAGACAACTCCAGTTGTTCAGAATGGTAGTCATAAATTATGTCACCAATCATCAGGGCTGCCTGGCACTTTCTAACGAAAAGTGTACTATTTGACATTTGGGACTGGCGTTCGGATGAGTGCCAAATTATTATATATTTAATTACTTTCTTAAAAGTTTGGCAAAGACTAGAAATGAGTGCTACGATTGAAGCTCCATATTTACTTATAGCAAAAAAGCTTGTGCTGGAGTTTTGCTAAAATGTATTTTTTTAAAGATAGGATAATAAGGATATGTTTAGTCTTAATTTTGCTGAATCAGTTTTGAAATACCCGGTATATATTTTTAAAAATTATTTCTATTCACAGAAAAAAGAAAAGATTTTAATATAAAGAAGGTCTGTTACATCAACTCCAGCAATGTCTGATATAACAATCTCAACAAGCCCACTAGTTTCAGTACTAGTTACAAGTACAGCTAATCCATATGGTGTGGAGCGCAGATTTGAAAGAGCATTGACAATTTCAGCTCTTAAAACAAAATTGGAACTTATTACTGGTGCATTTGCTCAAACTATGAAACTTACAGCTTACACTTCAGAAAATAAACTTGTATGTTCTCTTGATAATGATGAAGCTTTGCTTGGATCATACCCTATTGATGATGGCATGACTCTCCACGCAGAGGACTCCAATCTCAAACCAGATGAATATTCAGACACATCAAAGGTGGAAAAGTTTGAAATTTCACAAGAAGAATATGACAAACGCCAAGAGTCTATGAAAGCATTCAAAGAGAAAAATAAGCTTGGTCGATTCAATAAAGAAGAAATGATGCGAAAGGAGGCTGAACTAAAAGCAAAGGAAGAAGCCAATGAAGAAAAGGCTAAAAGCTTTAAAGTTGGAGATAGGTGTGAAGTACGTGTCGTTGGTCAGCCAACTCGTCGTGGTTCTGTTAAATATGTTGGCACTACAGACTTTAAACCTGGAGTTTGGGTTGGAGTCCAATATGATGAACCACATGGTAAAAATGATGGAACTGTAGGTGGCAAAAAATACTTTGAGTGTCCACCAAAATATGGTGGTTTTGTACGGCCATTTCAAGTAGAAGTTGGAGACTTCCCAGAAGAAGGCTTAGCGCTAGATGATGATGAAATGTGATCTTCTTAGTAGACTCCGTATTTGCTTGAATGAGCTTTACGATTTATTTCTCATCATTCAGTTTAACATCATCTTCTTGTGTACCGGTACCGTTATAGTCAAGCTAGATTTGTAAACTGCAAGAGAAGGAGAGAAAAAAAACACAATTCTGGTACATTTAATTTTATCAACTCCATTTATGGTCCCTTTATTAAAAATAACATTTAGTCTGCATTTGACAATGACATGCTAGAGTGTAACCCCTTGAGCCTTACAGGTTTTTCAACTTTTTATTTAAAGGAACGACACCAAAATTACTGTTGTTGTGATTTTAGATTTTTGTTTGAAGATTTACCTGTACCGGTACTGTAAAAAAAACTTGAGAAAAAATTAAACAATTTGTTTAATGCTTAAATTGCTTTCTTGAAATATATCTAGTTTAACTGTTAAGGGAAGGCCTGTGAGTGGTATATGTCAATCAGTTGCCAAATGCACAGACCCTTTGAGGTAGAGCATTTCTGACAGAATAAGTAAATGTAACTCAGTTTTTGTGGTTCTTAAAAATGCTTTTTGTTTATAATAAAGTTGGCCTGCTTAGTGTTCCTTTTATTTTATCTTAGGACATCCATAATTGAATAATAGCTATTTACTTTTTAGTACCGTATTTCTCTCCTCTGTGGGGTACTTTGATCTCACCAAAACTGTTGTCTGGCCAAAAATAAAGGCCCAGAAAAAAGCTGAAATTTATTTCCATAATTTTTTAATGTTGGTTTACTCCCATAGCCACTAGACTATTATTATTAGAGATTGATGAATGTTGTCTGAATTTGTTTTGATTTGTTTCTTGAATGGCTGGGTTTGCACAAACTCTTACTTAACTAGAGTATACACTTTACAAATTAATATACCGGTACCACTTAAAGTATTGTACCGGGTATGTAATTTTCCATATATTTCTCTTTGTAAATTAGTATCTTGAAACTTTTTTAAATGGTTGTTAACTGTTATATTATATATTTTTAGTTTTTAATATGGTTGTTCAAAAAGACTTTTCATTAGTACTGTAGCATATAATAGTTTCAAGACTTGTGTAAAAATTTAGTACAATTTATTAAACACTTTGCTTTGTCATAAATAAAAATAATTTTTTTTTCTCGCATTTGAAATATAAATCATAGACCTCTATTCGGTACCTGTACTAAACTAGGTTAATCCCTGTCACCACCAGGATATTAACCCCAGATATCTGGAAAATAAAAATATAAACTGTTCAGTTTTTCTACCTAACATTGGTTTTCACAAAGAATTATGTTTTTCAAAATAATACTGGCATATTTAATATTTATATATAACTTATATCAAATTAATTTTTTAATATTTATTCACCTCTTGACAAAACTACCTGAAAAAAAATCATGATGTAAGTCAGCAATAAGTAATTTCATTTGAAAAAATAATTCAATCATCATCAGTGGAAATATAATATGGTACCGGTATGCTGATATTTTAAAAAAAAGAAAAAAAAAGAAACCTAAATGTTTTATATTTACTAATTGTAAGCTCATATTTAAATATTGCTTTGTTTTAATACTTGCTGATGGTGTTTCCTATAAGTTAAACTATATGTATGGTAATTTCTAGCCGCAACATGTGTATTTGTTATCATATGTCTTTGTATCAGCTATAACATAGTAGCCAGAAATTTAACAGCTTCTATTGAGTCAAAATTTATTTATTTAAGAATAAAGTTACTTCAGTAAGAATACTGTAATTAATTACATTTTTTAGATTGCCTCATTTTTATGAAGCTCTATCTCATTAAGATTATGCTTCTTGGTGGCTCATTTTTATGCAATGTTTTTTTTTTCATTTATTTATTTACTCAGTGTTGCCTTTGTGTTTGAAACATTAAAAATAATTTGTATTGAATTCAATTCCTTATTTTGCACCAGATTCCTCATTGTTGTGTGCTGGTAACTATAATTTGGAGATTTATTTCATAATATGGTCCAGGTCTTTAATGTTACCATCCTATCTATGGGGAAGGTTGAATCCAAAACTGAAATGTGTGTATTTTTATTTTAGTTTTAGATATGGGTACCAGTAATAAAAAATAATTTAGTAGACCAATCAAATTAATCAACTCAACTAAAAAAAAATTAAAATGATGATTTTTTTATCAATTATATTATATAAATTAAAGGGTAATTGGTCTGGTAAATAAAAGGATTGATCTTCACACACTGTGTATCAAGTTCAGATTGAACTAGCAGCTTAAAAATTGTACATCCTTTAAGCACTCAAAAATGTGTCCCCGTGTCCATGGTAATTGTAGAAATCCCTAAAAAATAATCCTAAATTCATCCATACCGTATTTAATGTACCGGTACTTTGATGAAATGAAAATATCTCAATTTAACAGACAAAAGAAGTCCATGGACTAAAAAAGAGTTTAAGAAAACCTGCATTAAATAATTTTACAGTATTCAACGAATCCTTTTCTTTGCATAGTCAGACAAAATAATATAAACGTATCCCGGCCGGGTTTCACAACCTGGAGTGCTCGCATTCCTGGGGTGGGGGTCAAGAAGACATATCATTGGGTTGCGAGGAAATGGAATTTAAGAACCGTGGAGACATTCGCTTTTCAATTACGACAAATGTTTATTTATATATATATATTTCTTTTTAATAAAGTTTTTTTTTAACTTTCTTTTTTATGTAATACAGATCTCTTTGTAATTCAATAAAAAAATTAGAAGTCCATTATTTTAAAATTAATTTTTCCTTGAAGGAGTGTGAGTGTGGGACTTGAAAAATAAATACATATGGGTAACAATGCTAGCTAGACAAAGAATTTGCAAGGGGTGAGGAGTGTAGAAAAGGCTGAGCAGCACTGTTATTAGTGTTGGTTAACGAGTTGTTTTTTTTTTTTTTAATGAAGTGCGCCTACAGCAGATTAATTAGGGGTTCTCAAACTTAAAAGATACGTGTACCATTTTAATTAAAAATTTTAATTAATGCGTGCTAAATATTTCAGTGTAGGAGTGTAGGCATTTTGGATTTAAAGTTTGATACAGAATAGGCACATTTCCATGTAATTGTATTTGATTGTCTCCTTTTAATTTTAACGTCCTTTACACTTTGACTTTACTGTAGAGATTTGCACCTGGACTTTATTTTAGAACAACGTGACTGTGACGTAACGTTCTACTACCAGTACTACTACTGCTAATATTGAGAAACCTAGAGGTATATAGATTATACAACAGTTTATTTACAAATCACTGAGTTAGGCTACTACTCTACGTTATGATAATAAATGGAGGATTGCATTCATTAGGCCTGTTACGTAAAGTCTATTTTTAGCTCCTTACGACTAAATGAGTCATAGCTTTACCGCAGGGATAGGCCTATTAATAGGCCTTGAGTCCTTGACAACGAGATTCAGCCTTCGTTAAAATAGTAAACGATCACGGCTGATCATTGACAAGACAACAAAACCACTAATTCTAAATGGTTAGGTTTTTAATTTCCTTAAAAAGTATGCGTTTTATTTATTTTTTAATCTACGCAAATAATAGTAATAGTAATGATAAATCGGCTCCAGGTTAATCACACGTCTAATCGTGTAGTCTACACTACAGGTCTACAGTGTAGTCTCTACTGTAGTTGTAGTAATACACTACCTTTAAAATTAAAACGGAGAAGTAGAAGGCAAAGTAGCCACACTGACTATGATTTTTGATAGTGCCACACTGACTATGATTTTTGATAGTATGCATGCATAACTCAGTACCTGAGAAAATTGTAAATATAAGGTACCTTATGACTTATGAATTTTTCACCCCCGGTATCACATTTTACAATACACGTGACATGTTGATGTAGCCTGCATACATAAATAGTAAATAACATTAAGTTATATAATTATAATATTAATATATAATACATGCATTGATAAATTTAGTCTGTTTTCTAAGTAAGTTTAAGAAAAAGAAAACTCTTAGATTCAAACCGGGAGATCGAGTCAGGGATTTTTTATTTTTGAATCCATAGTCAATGATAGTGGGCTTTATTTATTTATTACATTTCCCAAATCTAAAATCTTTTCAACATTCTACCTCTATTAACTGAAATCTGAAAGGTTAAGAATTCCTGGAATTGGAGATGATTCAATCCCTTGGCCCTTATTTATGAAATTTATAGCCTTTATGACAATCTGCTGCTTACCATTACCATAAATCTTTTTGGGTAGCTATGCAATTATGTTTCATCATTTTGGGAGGCAATTGTACTGTTTTCGATTAATTTTATAAGTCAATCTTCTTTTAAACTTGACATATCATCAGCGGGGAACCACTTCTATTAATTTTATAAGTCTATCTTCTTTACCTATCAGCCTATCATCACTGGGGTACCATCAGTAAATAAACCAGATAGCCTATATTCACAATCAACAAAGAAATTGGTTCTACAGTATTAAATTAAGTCCTTAAAATGTTCAAGACATTGGCGCTATAGAAACTAGTTCTAATTAGTGTGTCTTACCGGGTATGACAGTAGGGCACCATGGGAATATCCTTTTGCCTCCCCAGGTATACATAGGACTAGGACTTGTAAAGGTTAATGTTATTTTTAGCTGCAGTCTCATTAAGTTTAAGTTTAAGAATTTTTTGTTTGGGCCACATCCATAACTGTCTTGGGCAGCATGCTGGCCACAGTTGGACACCCCTGCCATAACAGTAATGATATGAAGAGGAGATTATAGCCCTCAGTTTGATTATGACTGCTGTCTCAAAATTTTAAAAAATTAAATATAATTGCAAATGAAGCTATTGTTTTAGAACCATAGCAAGTAGGCCTAATGATAGATACCCACAAATTATAATAATTTTTTTTTTGTTGGGAGCAAAATGGTAACCTTTCCAATTATATAATGATCATTCATTTAAAATCACATTGTAAATATCAATTTAAAAAGTTTTTAAAAAACATTTATGCTAGATTATACTCTGTGCTAAAAATCCAGAGGGTAGTAAACATATCTCCCCATTCTTTACAGGATGCTTGTGACATCCATAAATGGCATCACACATAGTAGGGAGGTGGGGGAGGGTCACACATTTATAAGTAATATAAGGATGTGGTCAATTGTGTGACAAACTTGTGAAGATGGATGGGGGTAGTCCATAATCTTCAAAAATAGCATGACATCATTTATAGGTGACCCCATAGGTCATTAAATCGAGGATCTTTCTTCATTTTGCTCATCTCATTCTGTCACTCTTTCATTACTCTCCAATAGCTCCATAAGGAAAACAGATAGTTAAATGTCTTTTATCTAATGTGATGACAGACATTTTGAGTGGACAATAGTTGGATCCTCTGTCATCAATCATAAGTCCCTTCATTTATATTCTGAAAATATGGAAAGAATGCTATCCAAACTTTATTCATCATGAGATTTAAGAGCTATTAGTATATTAATTTGTTTTAAATTTAAAATAGTTTTTCCTATATAATACACCACTTAAAAAATGGTCATTTTAATACCAAGATTTATAAAGAGTTTGAACATTCTTATAACTTAAATTTCCAAGGATTCACCAATAACAAACTATGGCAGTCCACCACCATATCATCCTTGTGTTTTGAAGCAGTGGGTAAAGAAGGTTATCAGCTTTTCCTCTCAATACAACAACACAGGGTTTGTATATATTTAGCAAATTATCTTTTTTTATATACATGTAAACCACTTCTAAATAATAATCACTCTTCTCTTTTCCATTTGTAAATATTTTTGACATTGCAAAATATAATTAAAATAATAGAATATGCAGTGCATAGGCATTGGGGAAAAGTATTTACATGTATTCACATCTTTTCCCTTATTCTCTGCTTTACATTATTTATTAAAATTTGTTGTTTTTCACTTGGACTTTGGTTTTTTAATTGCAATTCTTTAAAAATGTGAATGTATTCATGGTAAGAATAGTAGTTTTGCATACCAGAATTTATATGATAAATGCTTTCTAAATATACATATATATATATCATATGATTGGCTACTAGACTTGTCCCTACTGTCGTGGTTCAGTATTTTATTTTGGCTAATGGTTACCATGAAAAGATAATGGGGGAGGGATGGGTGTGTGTGTGGCCTCAATCAAGCTGTAAACAAAAGAAATATTATTGTTGGTTTTACTCTTTTCACTATTCTCATATGGACATTATGTCTGTTGAGAACAATAATCTACTACGGTACTATTAAGTACTATTCATGCTATTTTATGTAACAGGGCATTCAATGACTGAGCCCCATGATGTACATAAACCTAGATAGGTAGGGATCTGTTGGTGGAAATATAAAAAAATATTATAATTATATTTCTCTACTAACTTTAGCTTTTTAATTGTATTCTCTCACCCTTATTGGTTGATCATGAATGATGCAAGGCATTGCAGCCTTAAATATTTTTACAACCAACAAATAAACCATACAACATTTTTTTTCAGGTGGAGTGCTGATCAGGTTGTAGGTTCACCTAAAGTGTATCCTGAACATGGAGATCTTAATGGTGCTTGGGCTTCTGGATCTATTGATAAGCACCAGTTTATTGAGGTCTTAAGATATGCAGAAATTATTTATTTTTTAAAAATTGTTTTGTTCAAAGGAATGATTATTTAATGAATTATTTAAAATTGTTCAAGTTCAATAAATTTTCTTTGCCATTCCAAATTTTTATATCATCAGCTTGAATTTGAACATCCAGTTACACCCTCTGCCATTAACATATATGAGACTTATAATCCTGGTGGTGTTATTGCCATAAAAGTACTGAACCTGTACAACAAGTGGGAGTTACTATGGCAGACTCATACTCCAGAAGTATTGTCTTCTAGTCGAATATTTTCTCCACCTCTTAAGGTAGGCTATTAATTTGATTTTCAAATATCCCCTTTGTAAATATTCCTCACGCTCTTGGGAGCCTCTCAAAATATTTGGCAAAATTGTTAAAGTTTTTGTAAGTTTTGAAATCGTTGTAAAGTATGGTACAAAATAACAAAAATTGTGAATCCATTAAGTGTGTGATTAACATATCTTTCCAAATTTATTAGAATTAAGTGATCCTAATTAAAGCTAAAATAAGCAACTACTGGTACATATACATTTTTAAAAACTGATTAAACTCCCAAAGTGTATCCTAAGAAAAACTTTTTAAAAATATTCCAAATTTAATATCTGCAAGAAAACAATGACCTAGATAATAAATTTGCCTTGGCTTTAAGAGTAACTGGACAATTACTATAAATACCTTTTTATGTTGCCATATAATTTTTCTCTTTATTTAAAGCTTATTTTTCATATACCGGTATTCAATCTTATTTTATATACCGGTACCAGTAATTAGTTAGAGAAAAATGATATGTTAAGATTTGGTGATTAATTAATTGTAAACATATCATCATATTGATCAGGAAGTAATATTCTCTACAAATCGAATACGGCTTGATGTTGACTGTACAGCTGCAAATAGTTGGTGTGAAATAGATGCTGTTGAGCTGGTTGGTTTACAGCAGGGAGCTGGTAAGTCTACATTGATTCTTGAATATGAAAACTAAATATCCCAATAAAAATCTCAGAAATCTTTGTCAAAATTAAAAGTTTTTTATCAGTGGATCTAGTTACAGGTACCGGTATATTACATTTGTTGGTATAGTTCAGCTGTTTCAAAACCTTTTCACTTATCTATGCAATAGAATTGTTATTAAATTTCAGCAGCAGTTTAAATATAAATATATAAACAAGCGGAGCCATTATTATATTAATATTATATTATATGGATGATATTTTTTCTAACTTTTTGAAAAAATGTCCACAAATGACAAATGCAATTTTATTCATTGATATAAAATCTTGAAAACTTGTCTACAGACTTGAAAATGGTTGGTCAAGCTTATTTAAATAGAACAAAAGACTAAAACTTTTTCTAACTACATACAAAATTACTGAAAGACATTCAAGGGAGAGAGCAGTGATGAAATTTTTTTCTAATATTTATATTGAATACCGGTACCGTACATAATTTTCATCTTTCTTTGCACTTATACTTTAAGTCAATTCCTCATAATTAATCAAATTGCTCACATGGATATCAGCCTATTTCTTTGTTTTTTCAGTAGCACCTGTTGATGATGTGGCATTTATTGAAGAAATGAAAAGTTTAATAAATAATACAGACTTTAGTGATGTTAAATTGCTGATTAACAATGAACCTTTGCATGCACACAGAGGAATCCTGGCAGCTCGATCATCTTTTTTCAAAAATTTGTTTAGGTCTAACCAGGGAAGCACTGTAAGTTATTTGTGGTTTAAATTCATCCGAAAGTTCACATTAAATTCTTGTTTTTAAATGTTTAGATTGAAGCATGAAAACTGTTATCATTCTATATTTTTCTGATTATGATTTTTGAAGAATTTATCTAAAAATGAAATCAGACTCAATCATCCTTAAATTTAAAATTCATGCTGAAATATACCGTATTATGATTACGTGGTACCGGTACAAAAAATATTTTGGACTAAAATTATTTTTAACTACTTCTTGTTGCTAAATTAATACTAACAATATGTACCGGTATAAATAAAACAATATAGGTTAAGCTTTAATACCGGTAATGATTATACAGAATACATATTCAAACATTTCGGCAAATGCCTTCATCAGCAAGAACGAAAATTCATATCATATAAGTATCAGTATAAATCAAATTAACATTATAATATGACTATTCCATGATGGTATGCAGGCTAGAGTTCGGGATAATGGAGAGACGTCTAAACCATTCACTGTAACAAACGGTGTGAAACAAGGCTGTGTACTTGACCAGTAAAATATTAAAATTAATGTATTGTCAAGTTAAAAGACCTAGCGAAAAAGATTTGTTGTTTTTCTTCTTTCCCTTGTATTATTTGCAGTTGGATCTGGAGCTGTCTATATCCTATGAAGAGCTTTTTGCTGTCATGACATTCATATACACTAATCGTGTACCCCAGGACTGCCCATATCATACCCTAATTACTCTTTATGAAGGTATTAATGACATAAATATCTATCCTACAGATATATTTTGGACACAATTTATATTTTAGAACAGCAGACAACTTTTCTTATTTCAATCCTATTATTTAACTAAAGATTAGTCATTAAATGCACTGCTTCTATCAGGAACATATAATTTACAAAAAAATTTTGTCCAGAACTAAATTTAAATGTCAGTGAAATTGCTAGCTAAATGCAACAATAAAAAAGGCACAAAAATATACGGTACAACTTAAAAACTCTAATAAATGATAACTCAAATCCTTTACTTCCTTTCTATTCATAGCCTTCATCGTGATTTTATTGTACATTTGATGAATATAAATTAATAATATAGGCTATTATTAACTTAAAATACTTTAGGCAAACTTTAAAAAAAAAATAGATGGCAATGAAAAGTACATATTGAGAATAAAAAATTTCATTCATTTCAGTTTCTTCAGTTTTTGAGCTTCCTGAGTTGAAAACAGCTGCAATGCATCGCATTATTTCACTATTAAATTGTGAAAATGTTATCGATGTCTTTCTAAGAGTAAAAGATAACGAAAAGCAAGGTATAATTTTTTTTAAGTATGGTACTATCGTGCAATAAGTATTTATACAAATTTAAAGATTTAATAATTTTATTTCTGCATTTTCGGGAAAACATTATTTATTAGTTACTATAGACTTTCTTTGTGGGCACCATGAGCATTCATTAATAATTTCCCCAAAGAATACTTATTTGCTATCAATTTTGTTATATGAAGTTCATGCCTGCTTTGAGAATGTACAGGTAGGACCCCATCCTAGATTTCATGTTTTCAATAGAAAAATTTAGGTTCAATAAAATATCACAAACTAGAAAAAAAAGCATTTTTAATTATCATGACATTCTCATGTTTTGCAAGTTCATCAAAGAAAATTGATTATTGAAATTTCATCATAGGAAAATTCATATGTAGGAAAGTTCATAAGTAGGAAAATGTATCCGGATTTAATTTATATTTGTAAATAGAATGCCTTTTTAATAATATTTAAATTTTGCATCATTTCCATAGGGGGTGAAAAGCAAAGATTAATATTGCATATGTTACCATTATTTTGTCTCTACTATAGTAGTATTACCCATGGAATTTCTCAATGGTTATTCTACCTTCCATAAGGGTCTTGTTACAATATAGCCCAGTATAGCTTGTTTTTCACTTCAACTTCAACATAGAGTTTTTTTTTAGCCACCACTTGTCTCATTAGTATGGCGTTGGTATTGACATCACAGAGTAAATGTATTGTGTCACTCCTTCTTTGTCTGCTTCTTTCTTTTTAGGGAAAATATTTTCACATTCAAATGTGTTCCAGTTCCATTTATTCTAAAGAATGGGATTAAGTGACGAAATTTCTAGAATTTTTGTACCGGTACAAGAAAATCTCTGTGATGAATTTTGCAATGAATTTCGTATGAGAAATTTTTTGAAAACCCACTCTCATAATATGTTTTATATGAAATGCTCAGATCCTTTCTGTTTATTCTTCAGGCCAGTGTGCCCAGTACATAGTGTGTGTATATCTTCTTTGGCTTGTGTTTCTTTTCAATTTTTTACTTTTATATTGTAGAACAAATAATTCATCTTAGCTCCTTTACCAATGCTATATGTTATGTTCTTCCAGGTGAAGTTAAAAGTATTTGTATGCAGTTTATGGCAAGTCATTTGAAAGAAATGTCCCGTAATCCAGCCTTTGAGACCCTTCCACCAAATGTCATTGTAAAAGTTGTACAAGAAGCCACAATGAATCTTAGCCTGGACTGAAATTAAAGATTTACTTCATCATCTTCATCAGTCCCATGTAAAATACTTAATGCATTATCCATTTCAGTTGTATTTTGATAAATATGTCATGTATGAACATGAACAAATAAGTAGTTTTATAGATTTAATAACAACAAATTACAAGCTTAAGAAATGAAGAAATTGAACAACAAAATTTATACCAGTCTTGACTGGTCATTTTTTTGAATGCTGTATTAATCCATGTTATATCAAGCTGTGCTTTATTCACACAGTATTATAAATGTTAATAAGTACAAAATGCTTTATTTTATGGTTACACTAGATTTAAAAGTACAAAAATGAGTTACAGATTACTCAAATTATGGATGATTTTTTAATAATTTAATTTTAAATCCTTTGTTTCACACAAAATAAGCTAAGTGGCTCCTTCTGATTTTTTATTATAATTTATGAAAACTTATTTTATTTTAATTAAGCTTTTGGATTAAAATCAATGATTTTAAATGTCTGTTACGTAACTTTGATTACTACTAGAGTTACATTATTTTTAAGGCCCCCAGTGCAGTGTCAGGTTAACTTGTATTACTGCTAGGGGTATGATTAAGTCTCCTAATTAAATATTCTATACTATACTATCACCACACTCACCCTAACATTCAATGGCACTCTCTCACTTCGATTAAAATACTATCAATGACTATAAGAACACATGTGTTTCAGCCCACGAATAATAAATATTTAATTGCAAGAAACAAAAGAACTAAATGCATACATGTTATTACATATAATAGGCTTATAAACATAAAAAGAACAACTAGGTTTACTGTCTAATACTAATACTAATTGCAATGTACTAAGTTACGACTGACTGGTCATCTTGTCCTCAGGTAAGACCCAAATCACACACACACACAGCTGGACGGTAGTCTGTCTGTTTGCCCCCTCTCTCACTGGTCACTGCGCGGTCTGGGACGTAATAGGTGTAGACTCTAACGGTGGGCACACACGGCCTGTGCTTCTGGCGGAAGTCTAGGGTTATCTCGCGTAAGCCTAATCTACACTTGAATTCTTTATAGAGGATGTCAGCGTTAGTCTCGTCACTAGCCGACTGACTCCAACTCAACTCAACTGGTTTACATAGACTCGACTCATCTTTACTCATCTATACTATACTGTATACTGGCTAGAATTAAGAATAATGAATACAAGACATGACTAAGAGATTCGAATCCCATCATCCATCATTATAAGCTAGCTAACAATACTAACATTTCTTAATCAAATCTTACACATGAAAATTAAAGACAACTAACCGAGCCAATTAATGAAAAATACTTTTGCACACTAATCTAGCTAGCCAGGTTCTGCTGCCAAATTACAAGTACAAAAGGCGGGTAGCGTCGTGCGCTCCCTTTTATACTGTATCGGTAGCGTCAGCGTGGGTACGCCTTGACCAGAACTCTCACTGTTTCAGGTTGTTCACGGTCAAGGTGACCAGGTTAATTTCCATTGTTAGTAATGTCAGGCCCAGCCTAATTGTGCAATCTCACGTGTGGTAAGGATGGAGAGAGTGTGAACCAGTGGGTCTCAAAAAGGTGAGAACCAGCGGGTCTCAACAATGCCAAATATTATTATTGCATGTCAGCACAGCTGCAATAAAAAAAAAAAAAAAAAACTCTAAAATAATTTAAATATCTTAAATAATAAGAAAAAAAAAGGTAAGGATGGAGAGAGTGTAAACCAGTGGGTCTCAAAAAGGTGAGAACCAGCGGGTCTCAACAATGCCAAATATTATTATTGCATGTCAGCACAGCTGCAATAAAAAAAAAAAAAAAAGCTCTAAAATAATTTAGATATCTTGAATATTATGGAAAAATACTTTTTTGCTACTGGTAATGAAAACTATATTATTTGAGCTTCATGTATACTTATATTTATATGTTTAAACACTTTATTATACTGATAAATTATTTTATTTTCTGTAATTTAAATGTGATATGAGATGCATCATTAAATGGGAAAACCACATTTTTATTATCAGTGTGCATTTGTTTTAAGAGTTCGATGCATTCTATCATATTGTCTTTTCCAATGCCAATATTCCTTCTGGTCTCTTGTTCAGTTAAAACAGTTAAATTCTATTATACTGATCATAAAAACTGTTATCAGTTGGAAATGCTTTGGTATTGTAGGATTTTGAGGTGGTAAATTACTATAAGCACTATTTACAAGCAAATCTAAAAAGTTCAATATGCAAAGTAGATGACTCAAGCTTAAATATAAGTATGTACAGAAGTTTATTTGCAATTAAAATGGTGCCTGTTATTGCCACTTTGATAGGCAAAGATGGGTGGGGGAGTGGAAATCAAGGACGCCCCACCGACGTCATCCCCTTGAATGTGGGGAGGGGGGGGGTAGGGAGGTGGTGGAACTCCCACCCAGAATTTTTTAAAATAAATTCAAAATGCAGGGATTCACATTGGCATATACTTAAATAAAGTTCCGCATCCTTCTACACTTATAGTTTTGCATCCGTATACACTTAATTGGAATGATTGTGGCTCCCTTTACCGTACCTAGTTGTTGTGTTTATATAAATTCTTTAGCTACATAAGTTTTAATAGTTAATAAATAGTATAACAAACATGTGATGCATACATAGGCCTATTTCAAATGTGCCAAGAATTAAAATAATAAATAATTGATTGAAGGAATAAGCTCATTTGAGATACGGTGGGCCTTGCCCTTGATATTTAATTTAATCCACCACTTCTTGCTTCGTCACTGGTCTCTTAAAAAGATTTGACCCCCCCCCCATCCCCCCATTAAAGACAGACGAGAGGGACTCCGCCTGATATTCTACATAAAGTGCATGGTCATGGGACTGGTGCCGGTCATCCCAGTAAGAACGTACCTCACCCCAGTGGCGTAGCGAGGGTGTTTGGCGCCCGGGGACAAGATTCGCGCCCGGGGACAAGATCCATTTTAAAGCGCCCCTTTTTTCTTTTTTTCAACTCTCAAACCCATTATTTTTATCAATAAAATAATATCAAAACACCACGCTACGCCTCTGCCTCACCCCACAGAAGCCGGGTAGACTGATTAGAGCAAAACGCTCACTGAACACTGACTTACCACTGACAATCCCATAAATTATAAACAATTGCACCCGAAACAATAGAAAATGCCTCAGTGCAAAAACTGAAAGCGTTTATTCGTATACTTGATTAAAAATTTAATATAGACGACCATTTTTTTTTTGGAAAAATTAAATACTAATAAAAAATATTAAATATATTAATCTCTGTATCGGTGTTTACATAAAAAATTGCATTTAAAAAACGAAAACCAATTGGGTATTCAATCCACTGTTCAATATTATAATTACTTCCCTTGCTTTCTTAAAAATATTACCACGGAGAATTTGTAGAAATAAGTTAGTGAAGATGATAGAGTAATATCCCTTGCATCACAACGAGGAAGTACTAGTGACGCCTTTTGAACATTATTTTGAAAGTATTAATTTTAGTAGGATACATTTGGAAAATGCTGCACGAGTTACTTCTAGCTCTTAAGGGTCACTATGGTGGAGTATTCAAGCATACAAATGAAGGGATAAATGTTAGTTCTTGCATTTCCCACTAGCTAATCTTTACTATAAATATAAAACTTAAGTTAGTCTTTGTTGATTTGTTGTAACTTGTAACTTAATACTTAATTTAGTGCTATGGTTGCAGTTACTCAGTTACACTGAAGTTATAGTTACTGCTAAGAATTAGAATTAGAAGTTAGGACATATTTATTTATTTAGTAAGACATGTAGCCTTTGCAGCATAATAGTAATAAGTAATTACTAATAGTATGCTGAGTATGCACATTCAGACATTCTTTAATTAATATATTTTACTAGTTATTAGGCCTACTGTTATTATTAGTATTAGCCATTAGCATTTGCCTTTACTTTTTACTTTAGTTAAAAGTTAGTAAGAGAAGTCTTAGTTCCTAGAAAGTCTCTTACTATTCTTAGATCTAGAACAGGCCTGCACAACTCAAAATGTAAGGTGGACCGTAATACTTTATGAAAAACTTGAACAGGCCATGATATTCTATGAAAAGCTTGTGCGGGTCGAAAAATAATAGTACAAGGGGAAAGCTATTAAGAAAATAACGTAAATAAAGAATATTTCGTTGCTTCGCGGGCGGCCTGCGAACCGTATGTTGTGCAGGCCTGATCTAGAATGATCAGCCAATTTAAAATTATTATTCCTTAACCTTTTTAAGATTGAGGTTTTTTTTAGTGTTGGTGCCAAGAAGAAGGCGAAAGAGCTCTTTGTACTACCTCAGCATTGCAAAAAAAAAATGAATTTAATTACTTTACAAATAATATAAAACTACATAATTCTATACTATATATATTCTTGTAGACTAATAATACTAAAAGGCCTTCTATCTTTATTTATTTATGAATTAAACTGAAATTTCAACTTTTATGCAAATAAGATATCCTCATTTGCATAATTTAGTAATGCAATTTTTTCACACTTACAATAAGCATGTCTTACTTGCAGAATTTTGTAAAATTTTATGATTGTAAAATTTAAAGCCTAAATAAGTCCTAATCCATATTTGTATGAGATGCAGTTTGAAAAACTACATAAAATATTCCCCTGGGGATGCCTTTTGACATTTTTCAAGGTCACATAATATATTTAACGCATTTTTAGGGGTCACTAGGTACAAAAAAGTGATAGCAAATGACAGAACACAGTAAAATTATAAAATTACAGAAGCACACCAACGGATATTAATGCCAGGCGCCATTAAAATGGCAGGAGAGCAAGAAATGCGAGAAGCAATCTGATTAGCTAGTACAAAGGCCTATCTTGAGGCTTGAATTATTGGGCCGATAGATCGGCCTTTCGTTTTTTTTGCCATTCAACCCTGGGCCAATAGATTGGCCCGGCCATCCCAAGAGGGTTAAAGTGACACACAAAAAAATACTAATACAATAATAGGCTGTTTAATAAGTCTTAGCCTGATCTTGCCCTAGTCTCTTTAACTTTAATACTAAATTAAGATACTAAAAAATTTAAAAAGCTGAAAGGGGGACTTCTGACTGAAAGGTAGGAAACTGCAGAAAACAAGGAAATTCTTCACTGGATTATGTAAGAAACCAAGTCAATTGTTGGAATAAACAACTATTATTTTTTACATTAGCCAAAGGCCTAACTCTAAACCTTTTACTTTTAAATTAGATTTAGATAAGATTTTGTGATTTACATGCTTGACCATTTGTAATGCCATTAGTAAAAGGTTAGCTGTTATTTAATTAATTGATATATTAGTAGGAGTTTCTCTCTCAAATCAATGTCTGAAGTGCTAAGGCTAAAGTTTTTAATAGAAATAGGTCTACATGAACTACAAAATAGACCACTTGTCATAATTGACTGAGAGTAAGACTACGGGCAGGGCTAGGTCTAGGAGTCAGGCATTGGTAAATAAAGTTTAACTTTATGTCTTTACTTTGAAACTTTTATAATTATATTATTATTTTTGTTGATTTCTGTGGAATTTGCCACGTAATTTTGTTTTATGTAGCCTGATATTTTCATATTAAGAAATTAACAGTTAGACCTAACTATTAAATTAATTTTAATTAAATAAAACCTTGGAATGTGAGTAATTTGCTTTGCAAGTATTTTGCAAGACTAGCAAAAGCAAGATGTTATGAGGGAGATCTATCTGAGGAGGAGGATGAGAATTCCTCACTTCAAATGAGATTAGTTAAATTTTTTGTAAGAAAAGTACCACCTGAAAAGGCTGTACCATTGCGAGCAATGAATCTATTTACAACAAATGCTATGTCATACTCTGCAAAATCCTTATAAGTGTAGAAAAAAAGTAAGTGTCATGGCATAAGTTCCTGGTTTAAGTCACTCAAAAAGAAAAAGATACCAGTGAGCTAGCTATTAGCAGGGATTTCGTTAGTGACAGGGAAAATCATCCTATACAATAACTCTCCTCTGTCTTGTCTCCCTCACACAACCCACTATTAAATTTAGTTTAAAATTTGATTACTAAATAAATATTAAATTTCAATATTAAAAACCTAACATGTATTTTGTCTTAATAATTTTTATATGAACACTTGTTCTGTGGAATGATTCATCTGAGTTTCTATTATTTCTTATTATAGAAATTTGCTTTGATATAAGAGTGGTTTTGTTTTTGAGGGCATTTCAAAAATAAATTATGCTCCTAATCCAAAATGTTACTTTCAATTAAAATTTAAATATAGCTTTGTAAATCATTTGAATCAATTAATTATTTAATAATTTTATTCTCAACAATGACTAAAATAGGTTGTGCCGAACTTACCATTCATGCATTCATCAGAGGAAATGGTATTAAATAAACTCTGTAAACTTGGAACATACTATAAAGATTTTAGTGATTTCATCCAGCATTATGGGTCTGGATTGCTTGCTGGACAAAGGACAGGTAAGATATCTAAAGGATTTTTATCCCCATGTCAATTTTCCATTACATAACAGTGTAATTTCTGAAAGCTGTATATTATTATTTTCTTAGAGGTAAAATAAAACTTTTGATCTTTCAGAACATGAAAATTGCATACTAAATCTTTTCTAATAAATAGTGATGGTGCTCTGAATGTATATTTCAATAACATTTGTTATTATTTTCTTTAGATATGGATGACCTTCATGGTTTGTATATGAAATGTCTCTGTCAAGGCTTGGATAATGTTTTACAGGATTACAGAGATGCACTACTGGAGATTGAACAAGATGTTTTGCATGATGCTTACCTTCCAATCTCACATTTGTCTTGTCGACTACAAGAGGTAACAAAAAAAAAAAAAGATTTACTAAACGCAAACCAAAACAAAATAGACATGTAAACGGATAATGTTTTACAGGATTACAGAGATGCACTACTGGAGATTGAACAAGATGTTTTGCATGATGCTTACCTTCCAAACTCACATTTGTCTTGTCGACTAAAAGAGGTAAAAAAAAAAAAAAAAAAGATTTACTAAACGCAAACCAAAACAAAATAGACATGTAAACGGTCATTAGAATAAATTTGTAAGAATTTAAAAACTAAAGTATTTAAATATGACTCTGATAGTACCAAGATGTGCATATGGTTAATATTAAAAGTAATTAATTATCAAGATTTGGTTGTATTATAATTATTTAAACAAAAAATTGTAGGTACCTATGAATTTAGAAAGCTCACTGAAGACATGTTTTTTGTGTGTAGGTCTGTACTAATTTCATAATGGTTTTACTATCCATTCAAAGTTTATCTATGTACATTGTAAAAAGATACAAATTTTCAATTAAATGAAAGAATGTAATTTTAAAGACGGAAAGAAAAAAATGAACAAACATTGAATTAATCTGTTTTGTATAAAAACATACTGATCAATTTTTTTTTATTGTTTGCAGTTTTACCTTCTCTTTCCAGTTTTAGCCTCAACCATTGATCAGATAGTTTCTCATAAGGTATGCATCTATTAGAATATCAAATTAATTTTTCGGTCTAGACATCTCTCCCTTTACTCTTGGCTTGTTACTAGAGTTAACTTTTCTTTTTAAAAATATTACTTCGCAGATGGAATTTATAAAATTATAATTAAATTGGGTGGTGAATAATATTTAAATTTTAATGGCATTTTGGAAAATGGGTATTGTATTGAATTTTCTGACAACTTTTGGATTTTATTTGTGGTGCAACCTGCAATAAAGTGTGTGATTGTGTATTCTATGAAACTTTAATTTGGGTTTTTCAATTTTGGATTTTCATTATTTTAAAAATATTTTGAATTTTTTATTTTCTTCAATTTTACACTTTTCTTAGCTCAGTATGCAACTGTAGCTAATGTGTTTTAGTTGAGGTAAGGGAGTGACCGCAGGTCATTGACACTTCTTGTCACATAACTAGAGAGATAGAATAAAGTTGCTACGTTTGCCATGAAATTAATGTACCGGCTGAAATTACTCAAGGAAAGGGGGCGACCGTAGGTTGTTGACACCTTTTGCCGCATGAAGATGGCGACCTTGGGAAATTAGTGGCTTGGATTTTATAAATTTACCTATCATAATTTTATAACAAATAATATACAAAATATTTTATTATAAAATAAACTTTAAAAAAAAATCTTGTGCTGGGTAAGAATTTTTATGACAAACTTCTTACCATACAAAAGATTTTTTTTGGAGTTCTAATTATGCATTTAACTTTTAAATAAGTGATTATTTATTCATTAATGGCTAATTTGATAAATATGAGCATTCTCTATCATTAGGCACATGGGTGCTATATTTTGGATATTCTTCACAAAAACTCCATATTTGGAATGCCAGTGGTCAAGAATGCATTAAATAGGTAATACTGAGCTAATATGTCATTGTGTTTACCAGCTTTGAAACATTCCCAAATATTTTAACATATTATTATTATTAAATAATTAAGCTGTGGCTTTTAAACCTCTATTCAGGGTGCAGGATTATACAAATGGAGGAAGCCAAGTCACAATCTTTTCTGAAATTTTGAATTAGCTCCTGAATGTTGTAGTAGAATCATAGATTTATTCACCGTTTTCCTAATCAATTATTGCAAAAAAATTATTTTGGTCCCTGATAATAAAAAAAGTTTGTCTCCTGATGTCACATGTAGCAAATTTTAAAATAAATTACCTGAAACTTTATAAGTTTAACTAGGTTTATTTAAAGTAAACAGTTTGAATGATTGGAGGTTGTAACCATGAGTCTTCCTTTATTTGTTTACTTTATGCTAGAAAGTCCAAATGACATTATATATGCCTGAAACTTAATCTTTACACTTTTTTTTTTTTAATTTCAAGAATTCTCCATGTGTGTCATGGACTTTTCTTTAAACAACTTTCTGCTTGGATGTTGCATGGAATAGCCTCTGACCCACACCAAGAATTTTTTATTCAGAAAACCAACCAATTGAAGGATCATTCTTCTGGGCAGAAGAAAGACGATGAAGAAGAAGATTTAGGCATTATGGGACTAACTGGACGTCAGCTGCAGGTAAATTAGAAATTAGATTCTAACCCCTACGTTGTGCTACAAAATTGTTTACATTGTTGTTTTGCCAGAAGACATATAAATTGTTGTTACCAAAATAGTTATCTTATAATTTCGAAAGTTCAAACCTCCTTTCATAAATTTAGTAGCCAGATAGGGTTACCAAACAGCATTGAAAATAATCAGACCAGACTTTATTCTATTGATTGTGCATAAGTATTGCAATTCCATGAAAAATTATTTCATGTTTTCAAGCATGGAGATTGACAAAAATAAAAGTGCCATTGAATCTTTGTTTAAAATTAACTTTTAAAATTTTGTTGAATCTGATGATTTTTAAAGTTCTTGATGTTTATTTCTACCTTTAAATTAAAGTCTTCAAACAATATTGATATACTTCAAGTAAAGCACTTAAAAGAATCCCAGATAGTGCTCCCCCCCACCCACACACACCGACGACACGCCACCACACACTTTTATGAACAGTATTAATATTCTTATATTTCACCCCCTTTTACACCACAGATTTATTTCATTATATTTAAATAGAAATTATTTCCATAAAACAAAAAAACTTGTGGTGCTGTATTTTTGAGATTCTCAGTTAACGCAGTTATCGGAAATTTTATTTTTCACGCTGAGAATTATATTGATTGATTCAAAAACTTAATGACATTTAAAACTGTAACAAAGAAGCTTTCATTATAAAATGTCAGCTTGTAAACTAATTGTAACAAAATTCTTTTAATATATATAACCACAGAAAATCCACTTGGGCCCAGATTTAGATGAACCCACCACGGATACAGGTCATTACAGTATTTCCGCTGATCTCTTGCCGTCTTATATCCCGCTGAGAGTTGCAAATAAAATTTTGTTTGTTGGAGAGAGTGTTCAGATGTTTGAAAGAGACAAGCACAAAATGAAATCCATCCATCAAGGTAGATCTAGATTTATTTATCTTTGTCCCTGATGGATGAAATATTTTTTTGGATATTTCCTAATTTGTAAAAATAGAGCAATTTATTTATTTTTTTTTTTTGCGAGGATCATGAAATTTACAATGAAACAGCAAACATAAATTTAACCAGTTACTTTTATGAAGATGCAGACGTGAGAAATGTTTATTGTATTTTGTGATAAAAATTTTGAGCATTCTCTATCACTTTTTTTACAGCAATAATATTTCTCTTATATATTTAGCTACTTATGATACACATTTTTAAAATTTTATTTATGTTTTACTAAATTACATAATGGGTAGAGATACAATGGCTAGGGTTTAAAAAATGTTAAGTTAAAATAGCAGGAAGACCTTTTTCTAAGTTGGAAATATTCACTTGCTCTTGTAAAAAGGTTGCCAATAATTTATTTTTGGACTTACGTATCTAAATGACTGCTCTTAAGATGTGTTTAAGTATGAGATTATACAAATACTTCTAAGGATCCTCAATATATCCCTCTTGTGTTTCTATTAATATTTTATTCTCTAATTTTTACTTTGGTAACAAAAAAAAGTTATTTTTGAGGTCTTAGATTTAGGTGTGATGTTGAAAAAAATGCAGCATGTGAAATTTCATTAAAATCATCCAAAGAACAGTTAACTTATTTGAAGTGAGTAGTTGATAAAAAGAAACCAGTATTTAAACAGTTATATATATTTTTTTATATTCCAGCTGTAACTATTATGAGTAGCAGGGAAGATGAATTTGCTGGTGATCTCCAAGAGTTATCCATGCTGGCAGAGTTCAATAGTATCAGTTTTGAGACTATCATAGATAAAATAAGAGTCCATGCTGCTGAGGTATATTGTCACCATATTGTACTAAAGTTTTCACATGCATATTTGTTTTTACATGGAGCCAAGCTAGATCAATCATTGTAATTTTGAAATGTATATTGTATCAATGAGCAACTGAATATGTCATATTTTATCTATTTAAAAAAACTGACATATGGAAACCTGCTTTTAAAAAAAATGATCCTGAAAATAGAATTACTATTACAATTAAAAATTGTTTACTTGAAAAGGGATTAACTGTGAAAAATCTATTAGTTACTTTTTTTAAAGACAATATTTTTTTATTTAATTTTTTTATTTAATTTTTTTAATGTTACTAGTACCTGTGGTTTGTTGTGGTGGAACAGTCTGGGCTGACCAGCCAGTTAAGGGTTATGAAAGATTTTTTTCTGCTTGGTCGTGGTGAGCTCTACTTAGCCTTTATAGATCAAGCCCAGCATCTTCTACGGACCCCTGCTACGTCAACAACAGAGCATGGTAGAATAGTTTTAATAATCTTATTTTAAAATGATTTAAACAAATAATATTGATGATGCACTACTCATTGATTGTGTGATGTAATGATAATACTAAGAGCTTATTATAAATAGGTTATTTAGAAATTAGATAATTTGAAGGGGTTAAAACAGCATTAATTTCTAATTAAAATTTTCTGTGAAGGTCAACTATTTCAAATTTTTAACAAGTAATCCTAATGTGTCTTACAGATGTTAATCGTGCATTCCATCATGCAGCTAGAAATGTTTTGATTGATAATGATGCCCTACTGCAGAGATTTCATCTGACAGTGCCATTAACTCAAAAAGATAAGAGTATGTTGTTTTGTATAAAATTATGACAGGATTTTGTTTTCCAATTCAATGGTGTCATTAGCTCAATTTATAATCCTAAAGACAGGTATAGTTTAATTCACTTTTTAAAAAAAATCGATTAACTTTCTAGGAGGGGGCAAACAAATTTTAGTAATGTTTTAATGTAGTTTTAATTTACTGTAGCGTATTTGTATGGTGAACGAACGGACAGGACATCAGCTTAGTTACTTTCTCTTTATTTTCTCTTTACTTTAATAAATTTTTTGTCTATTTTTGTCTAAAAAATTTTTATCCAATCAATCCAGGGGGGGGGGGCAAGTTCCCCCCTTGCCCCCCCCTGCGGGCGCCCATGTCCACCAGTTTTTTTTTACTGCCAGTAAAAATATTTAGTCTACTGTAATCAGTCAATTATTGTCAATGCGCAAACAAAATTCACCCAAATATTTTTTAATGTTGATGGCTATACAAATTTTTATAATTTCATATTGACAGAACAGCACCGATGATGCTTTTTGGACCTAAGAACTATGGTTGAGCCAAGTTCTGACCCGGATACCCGGAAATGTTCTAATACTAACACCCGGCACATACCAGGAAACGTACAAATGGGACCGGGTTCGGGTGTTTATAAAAAATGAGTTATCTTCCTATTATTTTTTAAAATAAAATATGTGTACATTTTATATGAATTAATAAATCGTGATAGAAAGTTGACCAGCGATTGGTGCAGTTAATCTAGGCCAAATGAAACTGCAAAGCGCTGAATACATCTGAAAATAATAATCTACTTTCTTGGAATGTTGTGCAATTATTTGTCTTAGCAACATTGGCAAAATGCATATCTTTCGTTATGACACGGCACTTTCTATAAGCAATTCATATTTTATGTTATATGCTGACTTCCTGATGATATTGAGTAGCCAAAGTTTGTGTAAGGATCACTTCTAGGCTCAAGGCTTAATGGTTAGGGCAATGGTTCTCAACATGTGGCTCACGGCCCCTTTGGGGTCGTCTGAAAAAATGTCAGGGGTTGCTTGAGAATCTCAGAAATTTGAGGGGTGGGGGGTATGTGTAAAATGTGCGTTATTTCTTATTAGAATTTTTATTTTTAAAATTTAAATATTGTTTATAGTGATCTTAATAGTTTCTTATTATTACTATGCTCTAACTACACTACAGCTACAGGAAATAAAAAAAGAACATATGATTCGTTCGGTAGATGTCAGCAACTCATATTTGACAGATTCTTTTCATATTTTTTTTTTTAAAATGGTATAGGATTGTATTATTTTGTTGTTTGTTTTGCTTTTCTTATTTTATTTTATTTTATTTCATTTTTTATTTATTTATTTTTTTTTTGGGGGGGGGTGGGGGTGGGGTAATTGTTTTTGGGTTTTTTGTCCTTGTTTTTTTTTTTTAGCTTTGTTTTTTTATTTTTTAAATTTTTTTTTTTTTATTTTAATTATTTTTTTTTTTTTTTTTTTTTTTTTTTTTTTTTTTTTTTTTTTTTTTTTTTTTTTTTTTTTTTTTTGGGGGGTTGTGGGTGTGGGGTAATTGTTTTTGGGTTTTTTGTCCTTGTTTTTTATATTTAGCTTCGTTATTTTATTTTTAAAATTTTGTATTTTTAATTTTAATTAATTTTTTTTTTTTTTGTGTGTGCCCAAACTTAAAATTTGGTAGCTTCCACGCAAAACGATAACCACGTGTGTGAATTCATCAAAATCTTTCTGGAGATTAACTTATAGAGCCACCCACCAATGTTCCCTTTACTGCGTGGCTGCGCAGCCGCGCAGCTATCTCACAGACACCGCGCAGCAGTTCTAAGTATCCGCGCAGCAAATTTCCAATTAAGTCTGTGTTTTTGTTTTTGGACTGTAAATTTGCACAGAAAAATGGATGCTGTAAAACTTTGCACACAACTGTATGATTTTGCACACGAACCAGCAAACCTTAGAGGGAACATTGCCACCCACCCTTCTTCTAGCCCTTATTTCTGCTTCCCTCCACTCCGATCAAAATAACAGACCCAACTTTTTATCTATAAAAAGCACGGCTCCTCCATTTCAACACCAATTTCTAGGTGTAACTTTGGTGGTGGGTCGCCACAACTTGGCAAATGTTATACAGGGATCGCAGCACTAAAAAGTTGAGAAACACTAGGTTATGTTTATTATACAGCTAAACGTGTTTTTAACTCTTTCTTTTTGTAACACTCGGACCCGGACTGGATCATTGATTATTTTGGATATCGCATTCATTCAATTAATTATCAATTTGTTCCAATTATAGGGTATCTTAGAATGACTTATATACGATAGCTACAATATCCATGGAAAGAAAGAAAGTTTGCAAAAGAATTTGATATGACAGAAATAGTTCCGGATCCATGAAAATGATTAATTAATAGACCTTTTATAAATGTGCAATAACGGGTCTTTTTTGTTTCGTTAGTCGACCTATTTTTAAGTAGGGCCTATTTTGCGCACGCAAGAAAACTTTGTTCGAAGAGGCTATTCGTACCCGGGTACCAGAAGTGAGAGGTTGGGTTTAAAAAACTATTTAAAATATTATTGTTGGGTTTGTAAGACAAAATGAGGTATCAACTGAAAGATAATTGAAGGGATTATATGTTTTGTTTGTATACTTACTTCTTCAGTTTAACTAAAATAAACGATCACAAATGACATCCAAATAGCATTGGTCTAATGGGACCCGGGTGCGAATGGCGGCGCTGCGTGTCCGGGGCCATTTTGACTAAATGCTATTCGGATGTCCTCTAACGAGCCAAAATTTAAAACTACGTATTAAATTTATTAAGTCTTATAAGGGTAGGTAACAATGTGCACGGCCCCTAAGAGAAAATGCTGGGAAATGATACGACTAGACAAAGATGGTGTCAAACGGTTCCATAATATTATTAATATGAGATAGATCAGTTGTGGTTTTTTTTGTACAATAGACAATAGCACATAGTATCTGATTAAAGTATCAGAGGAAAGTTTGTCTAATAAATAATCAATGGGAAGATGAAAAACAAAAATAATAAAATTACTAAAAATAGTATTTAACGTTTATTTCTATAGCTCAAACGTTTAAAAAAGATGCGCATTTTAAATTATTAAAAAAATTTTTTACTGCGCTTTTTCCGGAAAGGATTGGGGAAGGGAGGGGGGTGTAAAATAGCAAAGCCCACTTTTTTTCTTTTTATTTCTTCTCATTTTAAATGATCTTTTCTCACATACGACAACAATCCAAAGGCAAATCGCCTACAGACAAGTATGTGTGTGCTCTTGTTCTCTCTCGTCTTGACGATTGCAACGCTCTTCTGCCAAGTTCACCTAAACATTTCAAAGAAAAACTGCAGAAAGTTCAAAACTCAGCTGCTAGATTAGTTCTAAAGGCAAAGAAACGTGATCATTTCACTGCACTACTTCACTCCCTCCATTGGCTCCCTTTGCAGGCACGCATTGATTACAAGCTGTCTGTTTTCTGTCACAACTTTTTCTCTGCTTCCTGTCTTACTGAACTTCTTTCTGTCTATTCACCTCTTCGACAGCTTTGCTACTCCGCAGACAATGATATTATTATTTCTGTTCCCAGAACACGCACAAAAACATATGGTGAACGATCTTTCTCTTTCTGTGCCCCCAAACAATGGAATTCTCTCCCATTACATATCCGCAATATACTGACCTTCCCAGCCTTCAAAACTGCCCTCAAGACCCATCTCTTCAAATTGTACTATACCGACTCATTCTCACCCCCATGTAACTGATAAAAAACACTCGATGCTGCTGGGTGCTGTCCATGGCTAGACAGGGTTAGATAGTGCTTGGCTGGGTGCTGTCCATGGCTAGACAGGGGTAGATAGTGCTTGGCTGGGTGCTGTCCATGGCTGGAAAGTAGTAGATAGGTTAACCTTTTTACCAATTGTTGTTTTTAAATATATACTTTTCTGTAATTGCTATTTTTACGTGTGAAGCGCTGTGAGCCTGGCCCTAAGTAGACTGGGATACTGTGCTTTATAAAACCACATCAATATAGAATGTATACATATGGCATTTTATGCAACGCTTTTACGAAACAGAGCGTTCACCACTAAAGAAACTCTCGTGGAATTTGACCTAGGGGTCAGATTGCAACAACATTGCATGAGCGGCTTCTCCCTCCACCGCATAGATATCAAATCACAATGTGGGCGTTTTGTATCAGTTCAATACTTTATTTCTCCGGAACCCTGCAGTATTATGCTATAAATTTAACCTTGCCGGAATTTTATTCTCTATGCGTTAGTAAATTTGCACATCTGCATTTTTTATAGGATATTGTAATATGAAGTAATTTAGGGAGTTATATTAGGCAGTGTTTTAGTCACTTGTTAGCTCCGTCAATATGACTCGTAACTATGATATTATGATGGTTGAACATACAGACGTACACTGAATTCTTGCATTACATGGATTAAGATACGTTAGCATAATAGTTACCGCTATATTGTTCTGGTTGCACATACTCCAATGTGCTTATAGGCGATTGATAAAACACTATCCAACCAGCGAATGTCCTTCAAATATGTAAAGTAACTATCCTGCAATGTGCTAAATTCGTACACGGGAAATGGTGCATGCGTTATCGACAGCTGTATTAAATACTTAGACATTCTTCAATGCGCTTTTTAAAAAAAGACACCATGATTGATTGATACAACAAGTATCAAACGGTTGTTATACTCTATAAGAGGCCTGCACTACTTAAAAATGTAAGTATAAATTAAAGGACTCTGTTCTTTGTTATATTTTCATTTATACTGTTAGCTGAAGAAGGCTTATGCCGAAACGTCCTTATTTTTTTTTGTTCTGTTCTCTAATTCATGCTTCAACATACCTCGTTTGGCTATTTCATTCATTAAAATGTAAGGCGGGCCTTAATACTTTATGAAAAACTTGTGCGGGCCAAAAGAACATAGGACGGGGAAAGCTATTAAGAAAATAATAATAATAAAATATATAATTCGCCAGCAAAGGTC